TGCTCATGTATGTATTATAGTAGTAATAATAACATTTAAAACTACTCGGTACTCTTCACATGTTACGATATGTTATATATCCATGAGTAATAATTTTTCCCTATTTTTTTTATCTGGCATCCTCATTACACTTCTCATGTCGCAATATGTTAAGCAATGCCATAATTGATGTATGGATTTGAAGACCTGACATGTGATCAAATATTGGGTTGAATTGAAAAAGTTTACAAAGTTAACTTCTCAGCAGAGAGGTGGAACTTTACACTGTACACGAGAGAACTGGCTGATAAAAAAAGGTCCCCCCAAATACTGACAATTTTTAAAATGAGATTGCTGTTATGAACTTTAATTAGCCAGAACCTAAGCCCCCTCCTCCCCCCCCCAAAAAAATTGCCGCCTTTTCTACCACATCTATTAATTAATGATCTAGTTAATCTGCCATATATTATTGCTATTTATCTGTTGACATATTTACTTGTGCTAAATCTATCGGATTTATGTGCGTTGGATTACGCTTTAAGATGCGTGTTCGTTAGCTATTTTTCATATAGTTCATTGGTGTTGTTTGTGTCAATAAAGCACAATATGTTGTGTGGGTCTGCGTGCTTTGTTCTTTTTTATGTTTGGCTAATCTTTGTGAGTTATTGGTTATTTGTTCTGCATACCTGTTAACTGATCTGTTGTTTATAAAAAAAGATCTGTTTGTGCGTTATTGGATTTTTGTTCTGTACACCAGTTAACTAATCTCTGGCTAGCATTGTGGAATTTGACAGATTTGTTGACACATCTATCTGTCAGATTTTGTAATGATCTGATTGGTCAAAAAACCGACAGATTTTGATAGCACAAATCTGTCAACAGATGGATAAACAGTCCCATTCTGAATAGATACGTGTTTGCAACAGCGAGCAAAATTAGAAAATAAATTGGTCTTGATTATAAAGAAAATTTAACGGCTTGTTGTGCGTATCATGAGGTGGACTCAATTTTCTACAGTTCTGTATATTTGTAATGCCTGCAGTTGGGTCACTGATAGGCGGGAATGATGAATCACGAGTTTCACAACTGCAGAGGAGTACTCCGTACTACTCTCCAGTGCCAGATCTGACAATTTTAGGTTATTATTGTCACTCCGTTCCAGTGCCAAAACTTAACAAAAAACACATTCCAACTAATTTGTTGAGAGAGTAAAATTATTCATAAATGGAAAACGATGAGATCTTCCTCGTGAAGACGCAGAGCATGATGCTGGCTAGTTTCCTCCCTACCAGCGAACACCACCGTCAATGACTTAACGGCCATCACAAACGCAGAGTCGGAGAGACACCTCTCTACGAGGTACTGTATGCCAGATCTGACATTCTGGGCTCGTTTAGTTCATAAAAAGTTTTACAAAAAGTGTTGTAATAGACATCACATCGAATTTTGCGATACGTGCATGGAGCATTAAATATAGACGGAAAAAAAACTAATTGCACAGTTTGGTTGGAAATTGCGAGACAAACGTTTTGAGCCTAATTAGTCCATGATTGAACACTAATTGCCAAATAAAAACGAAAGTGTTACAGTAGCCAAATTCATAAAATTCGCGAACTAAACACAGCCTTTGTGTATGCCTCTTGCCGTTTACCTTCCTTCCTCGCTTACATGGTGCTATGTCTGCACGCACTGCGGACCACACCTCTGGTCCTGTTCACCTGGCACATAAGTCGGGTTGAAAAAGACCGTATTTGTTATGAGATTAAAATACTGCATTAGATTAGCGGAAAAAATTTGTCATAAGACAAGCGTCTCGCATTAGCGAGGCTTATTTGGCTTATAATTAAGTTTTTTCAGCGAACTAGACAATATTTTTTCTCACATCAAATTAGCCATAATTTCGAAACCCGTTGTTGCCATCAGATGTAAATAAACAGCGAACGGGCGAAGTAACAGGGCCAGAACTGTCTCTGCACGCTCGCTGGAAACATGCACGTGATACGAGTGTACAGTATTCTAGTGTCACGTACTCTGGACATGATCCCAAACAGATACGGTAGTAGTATACCGTTTGGTTCCGGCACGAGCCGTATTTTTTTATTGGAGCACCGAACGGCCGGTCACCGCCGTAGGGGAACGCGGCGCGGCGGAGGAAGAAATTAATTAAATTAAGGTGTGGCGAAATGACGAACTAGAGAATATAGGTACCTAGGTAGTGTAACATTTAAAACTAATGTTGCTCTATATAGATGTAAAATTTAATGATTTCCATTCATCAAGCATGAAGCATACAAACAAAAATGTATAAATAATATAATATATACAAGAAACATAACATAAAGAAGAATACTAAAAAGATGCAAGTGAAATCAAGAGACATGGGCGAAACGTTCCGAACTTCTGAACGGCGGCTCTTGATCTGCTCTCCATCGTAGCTCTCGTGGTGTCTGGACGCCATCTTAATTGGGCCCTTGCTAGCAAGCCATGTAAGCCCACAAGCAGCCTGCAGCCCAGATATGACATACAAGATATCGATTCAGTTCTTCTTCTTCAGAGCAGCAGACTAGCAGTTCTTGAGCTCTTTGAAACATTCATGCCAGGAGGTTTGATTTTGGGGTATGAGTTTCAGGAAAATCAAGGTACCATGGACGGAAGCCCCGCCCTTGGCGGGGGCTGGGGCCATGAGTATACACCTTTATAGTATGTGTATTTGGCTCATATGCAGTCTGCGGCAGCGAGTCGTCCCTTCTGACTTCGCGTGACGGCGTCCTGCTGCGGCCGTTCCGGCGTTCCCGATTCCCTCCGTCTCTGTCTAGATCATATTTGGCCAGCAGGCGGCGCTGCAGTCCCTCCGTGGCTCCGTCCCTGACTCCCTGCGGTCTGCGCCTCTACGGATGCCAGATGGTGATCGGTGAAGATAGAAGCCTGAAGGTTGTAGGTAAGTGATTGTTTGGTACAACTTTAATTAGCTTTCCGACTTTGCAATTGAAATCCAATCCATGCAGGCTATCAGGCATCAAGCGATTGAAGCGAATAGTTGATCCATTAATTAATTATTTAATTCATCAACCGAGAGGCCTGTAGCTGTAGGTCGTAGGTTGCATGTAATTTGTTCTAAATTTAAGTCATTCCATATTACCGTGATAGGGTTCTAATTTTCATATATATATATATATATATATATATATATATATATTGAACATGTTAGATGTTGCATTAGGGGCAGGAACAAGATTGAATGGCTTGGCTATGTGTAGCATTGAGAATGATATTTTGGATAAAATTGATCTCGGTACTGTTCTTCAAGATTTTGCATCAAGAAATACCCGAAGATGGGTTTTTTTTAAAAAGCACTAAAGCACTATAGTTTTATTTGAGGTAACCATAATAGTTATTTTACCATTCTGTTATCTTATTTGATTTGATTTAATGTGCTCTCGTTATTTTTATGAACTAAATATATGTTGCAAGTTAACTCTTATTAATAGTATTATATGCTTCAGTCGTTATAATAAAACATTAAATTGTTGTTCTCTTACTCCCTTGTTTGCCCAAGGGCCCTAGAAATTATTGAGACGGCCCTGAATATATCGTTGAGAAAGCGAGAGTTCAAATTTCACGATTAAACGAGGGTTACACGTGATCGAACAAAATAAAGGGGGAGCATGTGCTTGGTCATGCTTTGATTAGTTGGTTTCGAACTTGGAGCTGTAATTTTCTAATCTAAGTAGTATAAACAAATCGCTCCGTTTTCGTAAGTTTAGTGCTGTCTACTTAAAATGATGCCACGTGACTTCTCTCGAGGCCTTCCCTCCCCGTACATTTTGGAAGGCGAAGATTAATTTCGTGTGGTTTAGAGAGAAGCACTCTCCTTGTTGAATCCAAGCATCATGGGAACTTCCCATCGTACCAGAGGCAAGGGAAAGAAAGAATCGTCCTGTTCGTTTCGCTAAAATTTGGTTGATGCTGTTGTTGATACTGATTTCTTGTGATAGAAAAACAATGTTTCTTCGCTGAAAAGTAATGCTGAGGTAGTACTGAAAAACGGGGTGAATCAAGCAAACACTTGCTTTTCAACCATGCATGCACATATGCGTTGTGCTTGCCGTGCCTCCATTTGAAAGCTCCAATTTGTGCTTCAATGCTTAGTTGGACCAAGAAATCAAAATGGACCATGCGTCAAGTGTCAACTGTTTGGAGGGGAGAAACAAACGAAGAGCTTGTTCGGCTGGCTTTAAGCCGGTCGGCTGGCTTATTTTTTCTCTCACGAAATCACTGTTCATGTTCTGCCAGAACAGTATTTTTTTCTCACAACAATCAGTCGGAACAGTATTTTTCAGTCCTGCCGAACAGGCCCGAAGTGCACCGTTAGTCTAAACAAAAGACATTAACGCTCACTTTTCAAATTCCATGTACTATTCACATTCCAGTGTGGTAAAAAAAACGTCCGTTCTTATAAAATCCAAGCGTTTTTCGACCATTTCCTTTTCGGGGCTCTTGCGTTTTTGTCCCTACTTTGAAGTGCAATTGTGATTTTGTCCTTATTTTTCTAACTTTGTGATTTTGCCCTTCACTACGAGCAAGTCAACGCTATTTTGCCCCTAGTCAATGGTCAAAGCAGGGGCAAAATAGCGTTGACTTGCTCGCAGTGAAGGGCAAAATCACAAAGTTAGAAAAACGAGGACAAAATCACAATTGCACTTCAAAGTAAGAGGCAAGAACACACAAAAAAAACTTCCTTTTCCCGCCGTTCATATTTATCATGCGTTTTCTCATGTCACTGGTTTTCTACCAGGCCCATGGCACTTTAGCAGGGGAAGAGGAATGTTACATGGGCCAAGCCCCACATCCGTCCTCCAACGCGCCCACCTGCAGGCCCAGCTCCCATCTTCGAGACCAAGCGGAGCCGGTGCTGCTTCTCGTCAGAGTTGAGAACCGAGCAGAATCCCCCATTCCAAGCTAGGGTTTTGCTGCTGCCCCGGCCGGACCCAGGACGAGAAGAAGCGGCGCGGCGCGGCGCGATGGCGGTGGGCGACCTGGCGTTCAAGGCGCTGACAACGGGGCTGGGCGTCGCCACGCTCTACCTCGCCGCCACCTTCTCCGTCAACGTCTACCGCGGCCTCTCGTGGCACTCCGAGCAATCCGTAAGCCGACCCCCGTCCGCCTTCTCCTCCCCAGCCCCGGCGATTTGGGACCTCTCGTCTCCCCGCCCACCGATTCGTTGCCTGTTTGTGGCGGATTCGACCACGCCCTCGCAATTACCGATGGATGATGCGCGGCGCGGCGGCGTGAGCGCTGTCCCATGGTTGTTTGTTGTTGCCTCGCTTGGTTCGGTCGGGTCCATGCTTGGCTTGGACCATTGAACACTGCTGCACCGATTCGTCTTCTGGACAGACGCGAAGCGACTGTGTTCGTGGGTGCATCGGACCATTTTTACAAAGCGGTTACATGACAATTCAGGGATCCATTGGACAAACATGTTTGCTAGCTTGTTAAAACGTATTCCATTTTCCAAATTAATTTACTTAGCTTTGTGCTCTCGGTATCGAGGTTAGGTGCCAATGAACTTTTTTTTTTTTGGTACGGAGCAAACTGTGGTAATGGAGCTGCTTGGGATGGATATCTTTGTTGTTCAGATGAGATGTTTTGCATAAACATCAAGATTAGATTACTTCTTAATGTTCCTTGTAATGTCAGAACCAAATATCTGCTTTGATTAGTGACCCATTTGCTGCCTATTGTGAAGAATTTGACCATGGTCTTGCAAATTAGGAATGGAAAAGTGGCTCTGTGAGTGCGTTCGCGTGATTGCTTGTTGTAAGTTTGCTCCATTTCATGGTTAGCTTAGATAAAACCTGTCTGGTTTGGTTCATATTATGAAAGGATGGAACGCACCTGTGTTGCTGTGTAGCTCTGTATTGCAGCTTTGCAAGCGTTAACGTGATGATCCAGCAATCCCATTGGGCGTACATATTTGCCATCTGTTGCATGTACAAGCAATTGGTGTTACAAATTATCCTATTTCTCAAATTAAGTTCTTTAGCATTTCTTTTTCCAGTATCAAGGTTATTGAGTGCTTGGTGCAAACTGCAGTAATGGGATTATGAAACTACCTGGGATGAACATCCTTGTTGTTTAGATAGGATGTTTGTATGCTGCAGTCTAAATAGAAGGTTAAATTAGTTTTCGATGTTCTACATGTTATAACTAATGTCTCGTTTGGTTTGGATGCTCACGTCTGGTTCAGTGTTGGCCGGTGGGACTTGGGACCTTCCCCAATCCCTCATCGGCGCTGAAATCTGAATAGCATGGCTTATTTTAGGCTACAATTTGTCTGGATCTTTTCCTCTAGGTCCTGCCAGAACTTGGTGCACCTTTAATTGAAGTGTCACCAAATTCTGGGGATCATATGCTTGCATTTCTGTGTAGCTTAGAAAAAGACTTCTGTATAACTAGGTTTGCAGTTCCCGATTAGTGGTATTTCCGTATTTATATCGTTGAACCTGTTATGACCGGTATACAATATACCAGGCGCCAGCGTACAAGTGGCTAGGGGCGCCCAGATGAGATAGGTGGCGCCTAGAATTAGTTGGGCTAATAGCCCAGTTATCCTTGTGTTTTATTATTTGCTATTTTCCCCAAATAGATATTTATTTCTTAAAATAGGGACTCTTAGTGGGGATATATATTGAAGGAAACATTATTGAAGGAATCAAGCAAGCAACAGAATTAGTTGCTCGGCTTCCCTTGGGAGCCCTAGCCGCCAACCCTGTTTGTTGCCGGCGCTGTGGTTCACCACGGCGCCAACTCGCCGCCGCCGCCGCTTCCCAGGACCTCGCCCTCCTCTCTTCCACCCTTACAATCTACGCAGCAACTCCGGTAGGACTCCTAGCCCTATCAGAACCCCTGTCTGATTGAATGCAGAATTCATGTTATAGGCTGGATGCGATTTCAGCTTTCAAAGAGATTGCTTCTTAACAAAATAAACACCTACATAAATAATATGCTTTTATTTAAGAGCGTGGGATATGAGTTATAATTTTGGGCTACCTTAGTCAAGGCCTGTGTTTTCTAAAATATCCTTAACTCCTGTGCTAGCATCTTGTGTTTCATCTTATTTCAAAGATGTTTTACTGTAGTTTACTGTATTCTTTCTATGCATATGCTTCTGAACCGTGTGTTAAGTTTTGCTGTTGTGCATTGCAGAAACTAGAAAAGGCCAAAACTGAAGATTGAAAAGGATCAGCAGGCAGTTTTAGATAGCAGATGAAAAGAGGGGAGGGGGCCTTTTTGTTGATGTCTTAGCTTTCGTGTCAATTGTGTTTGCTTGTCCCGCAGACCTTTCAAGATATCCGGAATGTATCTTCTAGTATGTGATATACCATAGTCCATATACGATTCAAGAAGCTGTTTGGGATGATTATTCATCTTAACATATTTGTATCAGCATGACAGCATCATAAATGGCTTTTGAGACATTTTTACTTAAAACCTTTGCGTGTGTATTTCCTCCTTTGCAGCCAACTTTCCTGACTAATGGCGTGTATAGCACCTCAAATAGTACTGAAATAGGGTTCATATAAAGGTGTTAGCTTAGCGAAGCACCCATGTGGGATCTGCTAAACTAAATGATAAAATCAGAAGTTTTCTTTCCCCATCCTCATCTCTTCCTTTGCCTCCATTGAAATGCAGGATTTCCTTTCTATTTCCTGTGTTTTTGTGTGAAAATGACTATACGCCTTTTTTTCATTTATTTAGACCCCCTTTTGAATATGAGATTTTTTTCTCTTTTTCTATGAAATTACTATAGATTCATGTGAAACTCCTACATTTCAAAGAGGCTTTTAGTCTTCTCTCATCTTTCTAGATGCTCAATTTTGCAATATTTCGTAGTATAGCACCCCTTGCAAGTTGTGCGTTAGTGAATTGCTCTATCTCATCTCATCTCTCAAATCTTACTACCAGAAAAAAAACAAGAGTAAATTATACCGACAATCCCTAAACTATTACATCATTTTATCCAAGTCTATGAAATTACACCGCTAGGGGAATCCACGTTTTTATGGTTTCGACTTCATCGGTTTTGTTTCATAAGCCGTTCTCACTCGTGCATGTTTGATAGTGCTTTTAACTAATAAGTCGGTGAAGAAGTCACAACAAAAGCCTTGCTAAGATTGAAGAGGGCCTAACATCAAACAAGTAAAACCAGAGATTAGCGGTAATCCACGCCATGACCTTCAAAGAGGGCATGCACTGTGCCACCAACATTTCCATTCCCTTGCTCCACCCTGTCCCTTGGCTAGCCTTATGGGTGCTAGATAAATAATATTCATTTTTGTTTAAGAACGTAGAATCAGTTATAATTTTGGGCTACCTTATGTCCTGTTCGTTAGATCAAGTAAAATAAGTTGGCAGCTGCTAAAAAAAACTAACCAATCAAACAATCCAATCTATAGTCTAGCTTTTTGAAACTATTTAGGGATTTGGTATTTTTCAGGTGTCTGAAAAATAGCATATGTTCATGCAACGGATGTGAGCAATGAGATGAAGATCTACAGAAAGATGTACCAATCTTGAAGCAAGATCAAAGGATCACGTCATCGCCTGAACCAAAGACAGATTTCAGGCGCCTGCATTTTAGGAAAAGTGAACAATTTAACTACCTAGCTTATAAAAAACTACTCTCTCCGTTCCAAATTATAAGTCGCTTTGACTTTTTTGCTTCATCCATTTAATTATACATCTAGATATAATAATATGTCTAAAAATATGAAGCATGACAAAAATATGAAGCATGACAATAGCAAATTCATATTGTATTGAACGTAAATTATGATGCCCGCTATCAAGTCACAAATTTTGAAAACAAAACTCAACTTGTACTAGAAGTAAAAAACAATCTTGTTAAAGGGTAAGTGGGATTTACTGAAATTGAACCAAACGTCAGATTAAAATATTATCCTATAATAAACTAGATGGGAAAACATATTTTAGAAAAAAATATTTTGTTTTCTAAAATATCTTCCTGGCGGTAGATGTCTCCGTTGATTTGATTAACACAAATCTTGTAGAAGCTTCGGTATCAACAGGGTTTTCTTGGCACGTAACTAAAACGAGTACTAATGGAAATCGGAAGCAAAAAAAAAAAAAATCAGAATTAATCACGAAGATTAAGACCTACGCTACCGAAACCGAAATGCACACTGCGTCACGCACAGGCGGGGGCGGCAATATAAGGAGATCTGCATCTGCATGGGCTGCGCACATCTTCACGTCGATCGTCCCCATCAATCGTTCCACGCACGCCACGCGCACCTGTCGATCGGCGGCGAGAAACCTAGCTAGCCGATCCACCGCCACCACCACCTCGACCTCGAGACCGGCGGCATGGTCGCCAATGACGATCACGTCCGGCCCACTGACGAGGCTTCGGTCGAGCTCCTGCGCGGCCTCCGCGCCAAAACCGTCAACCGCAGCTTCATCCACCGCGCCGACGTCTGCTCCGCCGCCCCCGAGGAGCTGGTCGCCGATCTGCAGCCAGTGCCAGGCACCGACGTGACGGAGGACGGGTACAACAGCGTTTGGTACATCTACTGCCCGAAGCGATACAAGAACACCCGGGGCAAGGCCAGCGGGCACAGGCAGCGCGCGGTGGAGCCCGACGGCAGCAAGATGTACTGGCACTCGGAGGCTGGCCCGAAGCCCGTGCCAGGCGTGCCCGGCGCCACGTTCTGCAACTTCTCCTACGGCCGCAAGGAGAAGGAGGGGGCGTCGGGTCGGCAGCGCTTGGACAGGATGGGATGGTGCATGACTGAGTTCGACGACACGCAGGGCGGCGGCGGCGACCACGTGCTGTGCAGGGTGCACCGCTCGTCCTCGTCTCTCGCCAAAAGGAAGTTCAAGTCGTCGTCGTCGTCCAAGAGGAAGGCGGCAGGCGATCACCCCGAGGCGCCGCCAACCAAGCTGATCCACGACGAGCAGGTGCAGGTGCAACAGAACCCTGCCGCCTTCTTCATCAACGCTTACCCGACGATGCCCTGCTATGGTTATGGACCTCCCCAAGGCGTGGATGCCGTGACGATGGTCGGAGGCGAGGAGGAGCATGGTGTGCAGCAGCCACGCGTTGAGTCGGAGTACGGCGGCGAGTTTAACTTCGATGAGTTGCTCAACATCGACGAGCAGGTGCAGATGCAGGACCCCGCCGCCTTCTTAATCAATGCTTACCCGACGATGCCCTGCTATGGTTATGGACCACCCGAAGACGTGGATCCGGTGACGATGGTCGGAGGCGAGGAGGAGCGTGGTGTGCAGCAGCCACGGGTTGAGTTGGAGGCGGAGCACGTCGACGGCGGCGAGTTCAACGTCGAGGAGTTGCTCAACATGGAAGAGTTCACCAATGGTTACCCGAAGACGACGATGCCCAGCTATGGTCATGGTGGTCCCCAAAGCGTGGATCCCGTGATGATGTTCGGAGGCGAGGAGGAGGAGCATGGTGTGCAGCAGCCACGCGTTGAGTCGGAGGCGAAGCACGGTGGCAACTTGGGCGGGTTCAACTTGGAGGAGTTGCTCAACACCGACGATTGGAAAGGCTTCCTACAGATGCTCCAAGCCGAAGTGGAGCAGGGGCAGCAGCAGCCATGCGCCGAGCCGGAACAGGGCGGCGGGATCGTCATCTCCGGGGGTCTACTTTATGCGTGCTGATCTTTGTTTTACTTTTACCACCATATGACACTGACAAGATGAGTGCTTCTCTGATTGTAAACGTACACTTGACACGGAAATTAAAGATGATGTTGTTATGAATCAAAGGAATGGATGCATGCACGGTTGTTCTATGAGTTACTTTGATGTTAGGACTTAGGAGTTAATAGTTCTCTCAATTATTCGTCATGACTCATGACTCATGAGTGATGAATATTGTGTTGAACAAGCAATGAAAGTTGTTCGACGTTTTTCTAGCGTAGTGTAGCCTGAAGAATCATATTCAGATTATAGGGCGTTTTGTGGCTTTGTCAATGTGACTTGCTTTGGTAATGGCCACTGGCCAATCATGTACGAGCTAGTGAATCTTTATAGTCATCCGTGTTGTTTCAGATAAGTGAGTGTTCACAGATGGCACAGTACACTAACTTGACATTTACTTTAACACAATTAAGACAGACATATGACGAGCAAGGAGCAACAGCATATTTTGTCACAAGGTCAACTTGCAGAACGAATTTTAGATGAAGTTCAGGTTGCATTGGCCCTCGAACGCATGCAGTCCTTGAGGAATAACTTTCTTTAATTTGTAACTTTCATTTCCTCGACTAGTCTTCGGACAACTGGTCTAAAAACTAATCTTCAGACAACGGAACTGAAGGATTTTTATTTACAAAAAAAAAAAAACTTTCGTGCTGCGGGGTAGACACCTCCAAACTATTTTAGCTTAAGGTAGATCTTCATCTCTGGAACGAAAGACTGATGCTTGATCTGTAGCAGTGTTTTGCTAGTTCGTTAGAGTGAACATGTGCCAATGCTGCACCAGTATCACTATCACATCACATGCATGTTTAGTTTCCAGAGGCCTGCGCAGCATTCTCTGTCCTTGATCATCGTCAGCTCACGCAGCATATATGAACTGCGCAACTGCGGCACAACTGCGCAAGGTGTGTTAGTTACTTTCTTCGGTCTCTCAAGGCTGCATTCACTGGTACTCGATGCAATTCTCATTTTTTTTATGAGTCAAGCAATTTTGAATTTGACTAAATCTATATAAAACATTAATATTCATGCACTACGAGAAATAAGGCTTTACATGACGGTTTACTGGTGACGTTCTAAGAAAACATCATAGAATTCTATTGTTTATGATGGTTCATTCCTGAGGTGATACATCTATGACGACCGGTTTAGTTGTCGTCATGGTTGGACGTCACAAATCATATTCCCCTATAAATGATGTAAGATCGAGAGTATTGGATATCCAGCCCAAGACCCAGTACCCCTCGCATATATAAGCAGAACCAAAACTTAGGGTTTCTTAGCTCTCTCACCCTCTCCCTCTCCCTCTCCCTCAGCTGACAGCGGCGCGCACCCTCACCCTCTCCCTCAGGCCAGCGAGCACATCTCTCTCTTCCTCTCCCTCTCCCGCAGGCCCGCACCCTCTCCATTTAGAATAGTGTTTAAAAAATCTCATTTTCCTACTACTTTAGAAGTGTTGCATCACTTAATTTGTTGTAAATATCATTGAACATGAGTTTTGGACCAGAAATTTAGATGTGTGGTGGATCTGTACTCTTTTGGCCTTAGTGTCTTGTTTATAGCTAATTATTTTCTAAGTTTCTGATCTGGAAGAAAAAAAAGAAATTAAGTTACATTGATTTCTTTGACATTTTAACATATCCAGGATGAGAACATATCGAGGCATCAGACACTGCATACTTTGAACTACTTTGTGTTACTCCAATTGTCAATTCTATAGGCTACCTGATGTGAAATTTGTGCTAGATTAAGTTACCTAAAATATATTGGATGTGCTCAATACTAACAAACAGGGGGTGTCTCTTCTGAACAATGCAGGCTAATAGTTCAAATATGGTGCAGCTAGAGCACACTGCCGCTGAGTGTGATTATTTCTTTGGTACTCTTCAAATGCAAACCCAATGGATTGTTAGCTGAGGCCAACGCTTGTGCTCTCTGAGTTGCGGCAAGAGGATCAAGGTGCTCATGGTGGCTATTTTCGTTAGTTACAAAAGATTTAGTTGTCTGAGCAAATCACATGAGTTGTGTGCTATACAAGCCAACATCTTAGTTTTGTAGGTACTTGAGTGTAGCTTGGTTATTGCCTTAGTATTTCCTATGGAAATTTGTACAAAAACAAATGTTGATGGTTTCAAAGAAAATGATGAGCAAGATTCTGTCAATTGTGAGCATTATTCGAGTTTATGCTGTGATGATTTGGCACCAATTTGTGATGTTCTTTTTCGTCACTATGGTTTGGATCTGGGCTTGGATATGGGCTGATTATAGGAGACGGACAACTAATTCATGACAGACACAAATGCCAATATGTGACGGCTCCTGTGATGCTCCTAACCCTAAGCACCTCTCTCCGTTTGTAGGGATGAGATCCAGGTGAATCCCCACCCTTCCTTCCTCGTGTTGTCTCTCTGTGTAAAGATTTGGTGACCTTGGATTCAATCTCGGTTCGAGCTGATGGTGCCTAGTGCCTGCTGCCTGGGATTTGGTTGGGGTACTGAGGCACAAGATGTGGTGCTGCAGGGGCAAGGCGGCAAGCCAGATCTCATCCTCAGCTACCACCACTACAGACCAGGTTTGGGTATTTGCAATTCTTGTGTGGTAGGTAATGCTAGCTCTGGTTAAAGAAGCCACAGATGTGCAATTCAGCGGGCACATAACTTCAAATGCATGCACTAATATATTTCATTGTGACTTACTGCCTAGTGCCTAGTGCGTACCTGTGAATATGCTATCTGTTTGCAAAGTGGAGTAGAGAGGAATGATTATGTATAAATTTCTTTGAATGACATGGACGAGGAATATAGAGGAACAATAACAATTATATATAATTGTGAAGCAAAAGCTTATATAATAATTGTTTGCTGCAGTTACTGGGTCAGCTTAGAAAACCCGATTAGATGCTTTCATGTACAAGTAGGTGAGTGAGCTTTCTTGTAATCGTTTTTCTTATGGCTTTGAATTGATCTGATACTGCAGTTAGAATACTCTAGAATACATACATGCATCTTAGGTTGATCTGAGCCTGCTCTAGAATACATGCATTGCATCTCAGGAGATCTACTCTGTGATTTCTAGTTGTTGTGATGATGGGAAGGGGTGCTGGTATTAATGATGCAGCCTAGCATGTGGGAGGACCATTGTTATGATCTGCAAACTGACCATTGTTATGATCTGGAAACTCACTATTTAGTACCTGATATCTCTAGCTCCGTGCTTCGATATAGTATGGTGCTCAATATGGTATCCTGTCTCGCTGTTTAGGTTGGAGAAGATTTTTGAGCTGCAGCAATTTACTGTCCTCTTACATGTTTACAGAGAGACTCAGCTGAGATGGCTACTAGCAACAATGAGTTGAAAATCATGATGCAAGCGATGGAGTAGCAAGCACAACTAAGAAATGGTAAGTTTATTGTGATACTTGTCTGCATTGTTCCAAAATTTGTCTTGTTTCATAAGCTAGCTCATAACCCGGCCATTTAGAATAGTGTTTAAAAAATCTCATTTTCCTAGTACTTTAGAAGTGTTGCATCACTTAATTTGTTGTAAATATCATTGAACATGAGTTTTGGACCAGAAATTTAGATGTGTGGTGGATCTATACTCTTTTGGCCTTAGTGTCTTGTTTATAGCTAATTATTTTCTAAGTTTCTGATCTGAAAAAAAAAAAAATTAAGTTACATTGATTTCTTTGACATTTTAACATATCCAGGATGAGAACATATCCAGGCATCAGACAGTGCATACTTTGAACTACCTGTGTTACTCCAATTGTCAATTCTATAGGCTACCTGATGTGAAATTTATGCTAGATTAAGTTACCTAAAATATATTGGTTATGCTCAATACTAACAAACAGGGGGTGTCTCTTCTGAACACTGTAGGCTAATAGTTCAAATATGGTGCAGCTAGAGCACACTGCCGCTGAGTGTGATTATTTCTTTGGTACTCTTCAAATGCAAACCCAATGATTGTTAGCTGAGACCAACACTTGTGCTCTCTTAATTGCGGCAAGGGGATCAAGGTGTTTATGGTGGCTATTTTTGTTAGTTACGAAAGATTTAGTTGTCTTAGCAAATCACATGAGTTGTGTGCTATACAAGCCAACATCTTAGTTTTGTAGGTACTTGAGTGTAGCTTGGTTATCGCCTTAGTATTTCCTGTGGAAATTTGTACAAAAACAAATGTTGATGGTTTCAATGAAAATAATGAGCAATGTTCTGCCAATTGTGAGCATTATTCCGGTTTATGTATTTCATGAGTGTCTTAATGTGTGACACGGTTAATGTTGATTGTATCGTTAATGCTGTGATGATTTGACACTAATTTGTGATGCTCTTTTTCGTCACTATGGTTTAGATCTGGGCTGGTTATAGAAGACGGACAACTAATTCATGACAGACACAAATGCCAATATGTGACAGCTCAATTTGGTCCAACAAATGTTTGACGCGGGATACATGACGTTTTTCGCGATCGTCATCGTGAGTTAACTGTGACGCATTTTTACTTGTCTGTGATCAAAGTAAACCGTCATGTATAATGATATTTTTGTAGTGATGATATCAAATAAGCAGCATTATATTAATCATTGAATATATTACTTTACTATACATTTTGGATAACAAATGTTAATAATTATTGCTTTATAAACTTAGAGAAGTTTGACTCGATTCAAACATAAATTGCATCATTTTTTAGACGGCGGTAGTGTGTGATATACAGTCAAAGATGCTGTCCTGAGAGAAAGCTTTACTTGGTGCTGTCGTTAGGAACAACCTATTGTGGCCGCTATGGACAACTTTATAAATTTCTCATTTTCTTTAGAAGTCAAATAGTTTTAAGTCTGACTAAATTTATATACAAAATATATATTATATATTAATATGTATGATATACTGAATAAGTATCATTAGAATAATAATATAATATACTTTCATAATGTCTCTATTTAGAGTTATAAATGTTAATAATATTTTTTATAAATTTAATCAAATCTTACCACTTGTGACCGGAAGGTCCGGCCTGGTGCAAGCGGTAGAGTCTTACCACCTGTGACCGGAAGGTCCCAGGTTCGAGTCGCGGTCTCCTCGCATTGCACAAGCGAGGGTAAGACTTGCCACTGACACCCTTCCCCAGACCCCCGCACAGAGCGGGAGCTCTCTGCACTAGGTACGCCCTTAAATTTAATCAAATCTAAGAAAGTTTAACTCAATCCAAATTCTGAATTACATCTTTTTATTCCTTGAAGCCAATCTGTCCTCATCTACCTGCCTCCTTCCTACTGCTGTTCTTGAGTTCTTGATCTGCAAAAGAATCTCTCTAATATGAAAGGGACGTGCTAGCGCCTAGACGTCCGACGGGATAGGATTCCGTCCGACGGCCATTTTCCGCATGCAACAAGCACAGCCTTCCCCCGTCCGCTAACTCGCCCTACACGCATGCGCATCACGTCGTCGTCGCGTTCATACGACTCGCTCGCAATCTGCCCCGTCCGCCTCGATTCGACTTGCACCCATCCACGCACCCCGCACCCATCCGTTCGCCTCGCCCGCAGGCGCACCCCGCCTCGCCGTGCCCCTGACCACCGGCCTCCAACGCGCTGCGCGCCACGTTCGCCGGCCACCGGCTCGCCGCGCCCCATTCCTTGGCGCCTGTGCCGTGCCACCATCACTCCCCCACGCCCCCTGACTCTCAGAACAGTATGAAACACGTGCAACATGAAACACCTGAATGCAACATACGTCTGAAACAGATGAAACATCTAGAACATACACTTGCAGCATATGTGTGAACACATATGCAACATCCAGATAGAACAATTGCAACTTACAACATAAAAAACACTTGCTGCAACGGAAGACTAGAATAGATGAAACATTTGGAACATACTGTTGCAACATATGTGTGAAACATATGCAACACCAGAATCAGTTTGCAACATACGTTTGGAACAAATAAAACATTTTGAACAAACTCTGGCAACATATACAACATGTGCAACATCCCCGATCTACTATGCAACATCTATATGAAACAACTGCAACATACATCTGAAACGTTTGAAACACTTAAAACATATATTTGAAACATATGGGAGGGGGAGCGCCTGTGCCGGCCAATTCCGGCCGTTGGGATGAGAGCCGGTGGCGAGTGGCGGTACGCGAGCACCACTAGCATACAGCACCAACGCCACCAGCACTGGGCTTGGGTCGGCCGGACGGGCAGTACACGCGACGGGCGGAGCAAGCACCACCAGCACCAGCACGCGCGACGTGAGGGGGCGAGAGGCATGCAATGGGGCGCGCGGCAGCAGCAAGGGTAGTGCGCGTCCGCGTCCAGAACACGGTAGCCGCAAGGCGCTGCGATAGGGGAGAAGGAAGCAAAAGGGATAAGGATAGGTGATTTTTTTTAATAAACTCGTGGGCAGACCGAGCGGCGGGGAAAAAGCGCAAGCAACGAGGCGGTGGGCCTGCGGGAGCGTTTGGCGATTTGCTCGTGTTGGACGTATGACGCGTAGCATTACCGAATCCGAAAAGTGGTACTCTAGGCAATCTAAATACCATGTTACTGTAGATGAAATATCATAGGAGCCTTGGAGAAGCTCAATTTTATTAATAATGCATTTAATTTCAGTTTTTAACTTCAGTAAAACTCTATTAGCCCACATATTAATTAAAGTGGTTTAAATATTTATGTATAAATAGCATGATTCATCGATATGCACTTAACGTACCTCCAACTCTATTTTCAAGATTCTTTTGATAGTTATAAGTAACTTGGTGCAAGAAATTTGTGGATTTTTCACTACAAGAGATGCGACATTTTATGATGTATATGACATGAAAATAGGTCAAAATATCACTAAGTCATCCGGTTTTGGTGATAGAACCCTACCAACCAGAGCCTTACTCACATACTCCGGTGAAAACATAATTGAAACCAACTCAAATCATCTTAACTTTGAAGTCTATACAAAAAATATCAATATTATTTATAAGGGTCCCTTATTTATAATACAAAACAAATATTATTAGATTCATCATCGTATATTTGCATAGTATAAGTATTCGATGTCATAAATATTAATACTCTTTAGATAGTTTGATTACAACTAAAATTGCATTTTTCAGATAGAGATTGTACTTTCTATTCAACTTAAACGACAATTAATCACACCTCAATTATTTGAATTGTTCCCATACATTAATTATTATGACTTGCTTAACATATTGTACTTGTGAAGTGAAGAGTACCTAGGATGCCAGATTAAATTCCAAAATAGCTTGATTACTCGTGGATAGATATTACTAACATACTGCAACAGGTGAAGACCACGCACCGAGAGCCTGTTTGGTTCACCCCTAAAGTTTAGTGACCTCTCTAAAGTTTAGTGATCCCATATTTGGTTATCCCCACCAAAGACCACTAAAGCAGCTGTCATATGTATACTTTAATTACTTTTAGCTACTCCTTGGTGACTAAAAGCCACTAAGGGCATGTTCGGCTGATATTAAAGCCGGCTGAAGCTGTTTTGTTGTGAGAGGAAAAATAATGTAGATTCTAGCTGATAAGTTCAAACGAACAGGCCTTAAACTCTAAGGAGGTGTTTGGCATTTTAGTGACTAAAGTGGAGTAAACCAAACAGGCTCCGAGTATGATACTATTATACATGATCCTACAGATCACTTAGGCCATGGACGATCATCCTTAGGCCTCGTTCGGTTGGGGTTAGGAACGATTTCTAGCCGAGTTTCTTTTAGATCTCGTTCGATTAGTCAGGATTGTGCCTAGAAACCATTCCAGTTCAACAAAGGTCATACAAACTACACAAAGAATACGGCTGGAAATAATTCCAGTCCTCCGTTCCGTAGCCTCAATAATTTAAATAGCGTCGGAACAGTTCCGGCCATGAACGGCGATAACCGAACGGGACCATAGGATTATTCTACCATACATATCACGATCTCGATGACCGGGTCCTGATTCTATATCATCGTTAGGCGCCACTCCCGACATAAGAATCATAGCCGAGAGCGCCAGCACTCTGCAAAGCCATAGCAGCACCACCGGCGCCATTCATCGCCGCGGACAGCAAGGGGGCCGCCGCCGCCCACCACGGACATGGTCGCCGCCACGTGTTACTGTTCCCGTTCCCATACCAGGGCCACATCAACCCCATGTTCCGTCTCGCCGGAGTCCTTCACAGGCGCGGCTTCGCCATCACCGTCTTCCTTCACAGGCCGGCCCGCCCCCGGTCACCATCGAGGACAGCTTTGCCCAAATAATCTCGGTCGGCGACGCGTGCGAGGCTGCCTTCCGGGACCGCCTCGCCGCGGTCCTGCAGGAGTACTCCAGGGACGCCGACGCGCACCTGCTGGAGATTTTCCAGGTGGCCACGAGTCTCTCCGTGCCCACGCTCGCGCTGCGCACCGGTAGCGCCGCCTGCTTTGCGTGCTTCCTCGCGTACCCGATGCTCTGCGAGAAAGGCTACCTCCCCGTGAAAGGCACGTCCTGCTGCTGCTGTGCTGTTCAGCATGTACTTCTACTTCTGGCTGGTTCGCCTACTCACTAACGTGCTCACGTCTTGTCAACGCAGACTCGCAGCTTGACCTGCCAGTGGCGGAGCTGCCGCCGTACCGGGTGCGCGATCTGATGCACATCGGTGAGCCCGGCCACCACCTGATGCCCGAACTGCTGGCGCGCGCCGTGGCGGCTGTCAACATCTCCTCGGGCCTCATACTCGACACGTTCGACGCGCTGGAGCGCCGCGAGCTGGATCGCCTCCGGCGGGACCTTGCCGTGCCGGTGTTCGACATCGGCCCGCTCCACAAGCTCTCACCCGACGGCGACAGCAGCCTGCTACGCCAAGACCGGAGCTGCCTGGAGTGGCTGGATGCGTTTCCGCCGGAGTCGGTGCTCTACGTGAGCTTCGGCAGCGTGGCCTGGATGAGCCCGCGGCACCTGGTGGAGACGGCGTGGGGCATCGCCGACAGCGGCGTGCCGTTCCTCTGGGTGGTCCGGCCAGGCCTCGTTCGCGGGTGCGCGCCAGAGGTGAGCCAGCTTCCGGAGGGGTTCGAGGCCGCGACGCGTGGGCGCCACAGGAGGAGGTGCTGCGCCACCGCGCCATCGGCGGCTTCTGGACGCACTGCGGTTGGAACTCGACGACGGAGGGCATCTGCGAGGGGGTGCCCATGCTGTGCCGCCCCTGCTTCGGCGATCAGATGGGGGACACCAGGTACGTGGAGCACGTGTGGAGAGTGGGGTTCGAGGTCGGCGGCGACCTCGAGAGGGGCAGCGTGGAGGCGGCCATCCGGCGGCTTATGACAGGTGAGGACGGTGCCGAGATGAGGGCGAGGGCCGGTGAGCAGAAGAAGGCAGCTGCTGAGTACGCTGGCAAGGCCTGCTCGTCGCGCATGGCCATCGATAAGCTGGTCACACACATCATGTCTCTGTAAATGTTGCTTCTGGCCCAACTGATGTTTGCCTTATGTTCTTCTTTTTTCCTTTGTAGCTTTAAACTCTACTCGATGTTCAAAGTTTCCATATACGTTACACACCTGAAACTCTACCGAAAAACAAAATGAACCTCATTGTTGAGCTTGCCTGAAATTGATTCATTGTGGCCATCAACTCTTAGTTCAGAATCATGAACTTCAATGTTGACTGAAATCGGCTGAAAACTTGCTGAAATCCTGGAGACCATGAGAGCACCAGTTAGCAGTGCTCACTTGTCATATATGCAAAAATAAGGAAGTGCACATTTAAGATGCTCCCATGTTGATGCCAATATGCTAAACAGTGTGTGCCGGAAGATGAATAAAGAATAATCATCCCAAATCAGCTCATTCTTCAACTGTATATCACATACTAGAAGGTGCAGTCTGGAGATTCTTAAGAGGCCTACCAGACAAGAACTCTACAGCACACCCCTTGTGCAGTTTATGCTTCGAGTGGGCGTGCTTTGTCATTCACCTTTCCTCCATTTTTTTTACTGATCAGAACTCAGAAAGCATGTGATCGTCGTGCATTGACACTTGAGACCAAGTCACTGTTCTACAAGCTTGTGACTCCAACGAACTAGCACAACACTGCTACATAGTACTATTATAAGCATCAGATGACGTTCCAGAGATGAAGACCTTGTTGTAAATGAAATTCTTCAGTTTCGCTGCCTGAAGATGATTTCTTCTAGACCACTTGTCTGAAGATTAATCGAGGAGATGGCTGTACAAATAGAGATATATATTTTCAAACACTGCAGTTTAGTGGGGGATAGCCTGAACTTCATCTAAAATTCATTCTGAAAGTTGACCTTGTGGCGAATATGTCGTTGCTCGTCATATATCTGTCAGTCTTATTTTTATGTTAAATTAAGTAAATGATTATGACTACTGAAAATTCCATTTGGAGGCAAGTCACTGTAACGTGTTAGTATCTTAACCATTCACTTGTCTGACATAACGCAGTTGAATCTGAATGCATGTAAAGATTCACTCAATCACTCGTAGCATGATTTGACAAAGCCACAAAGCTCTATAATCTGAAAAAGATCTTTCACGCTACACTAGAGCTGCTGAACAATGTTCATCACATATTGAATAATTAAGATAAAGAAAAAGAATGCAACAGTGTAATATAACATTAAAGCAAAACAACTATATGCATTAATTCCTTTTGCTTCATACAGCATATCATCTTTCTCTGTCAGGCGTTTACATAGAGTAATCAGAAAACCACTTATAGTTTGGTGGTAAAACACAGAACACTAAGCTACATGTACATGTTTAGCAGACAGAAACATGTCCTGGGACAACGAACTCGCAGCCCTGCTCGGCCGGCTCGGCGCATGGCTGCTGCAGCCCCTGCCCCTGCTCGGCTAGGAAGTCTTCGAAGCCTTTCCACTCGTCGTTCTTGAGCAAATCTTGGAAGTTGAACACGCCCAAGTCGCCGCCGTGCTCCCGATTAACGTCTCCGAACATCATGGGGTCCACGCCTTGGGGACCACCATGACCATAGCAGGCGGGCATCATCGGGTAAGCATCGGTGAAGGCGGCGGGGTCCTGCTGCACCATCATCTTTACCTGCTCGTCGATGTTGATCAACTCATGTAAGTTGAACTCGCCGCCGTACTCCGGCTCAACGAGTGGCTGCTGCACACCACGCTCATCCTCGCATCCGACCATCGTCACGGGATCCACGCCTTGGGGAGGTCCATAACCATAGCAGGGCATCGTCGGGTAAGCATTGGTGAAGAACGTGGCGGGGCTCTGCTGCACTTGCATCTGCATCTGCACCTGCTCGTCGTGGATCAGCTTGGTTGGTGGCGCCTCGGGGTGATCGCCTGCCGCCTTCCTCTTGGACGACGACGACGACGACTTGAACTTCCTTTTGGCGAGAGACGAGGACGAGCGGTGCACCCTGCACAGCACGTGGTCGCCGCCGCCGCCCTGCGTGTCGTCGAACTCAGTCATGCACCATCCCATCCGGTCCAAGCGCTGCCGACCCGAGGCCCCCTCCTTCTCCTTGCGGCCGTAGGAAAAGTTGCAGAACGTGGCGCCGGGCACGCCTGGCACGGGCTTCGGGCCAGCCTCCGAGTGCCAGCACATCTTGCTGCCGTCGGGTTCCACTGCGCGCTGCCTGTGCCCGCTGGCCTTGCCCCGGGTGTTCTTGTATCGCTTTGGGCAGTAGATGTACCAAACGCTGTTGTACCCGTCCTCCGTCACATCGGTGCCCGGCACCGGCTGTAGATCGGCGACCAGCTCCTCGGGGGCGGCGGAGCACACGTCGGCGCGGTGGATGAAGCTGCGGTTGACGGTTTTGGCACGGAGGCCGCGCAGGAGGGCGACCGACGCCTCGTCGGTGGGCCGGAACTCGTCGTTGGTGGCCATGCCGCCGGTCTCGAGGTGGTGGCGGTGGATCTGCTAGGGTTCTCGCCACCGGCCGAGAGGTGCGCACGGCGTGGAACGATCGATGGGAGCAGTGGAATCTACGACGATCGACGTGAAGGTGTGCGTGGCAGCGCAGCCCATGCAATGCAGGTCTCCTTGTATTGCCTTGCCTCTGGCGCAGTGCGCATTTCGGTTTCGGTAGCGTCGGTCCTAATCTTCGTGATTCTTTGTGATTTTTTTTTGGCTTCCGATGTCCATTAGTATTCAGTTTAGTTCCGTGCCAAGTTCCCCTAAAAAAAAGTTCCGTGCCAAGAAAACTAACCGTAACATCGCTTCCGATGCCGCATCTACCGCCACCGAAGATATTTTAGAGAAGAAAAAAAAATATTTTTTTCTAAAATTAAAATTTTTCCATCCAAGTTTACCTATGTCAGAAGGGCGGGCCTGGTGCAAGCGGTAGAGTCTTATCGCCTATGACCGGAAGGTTCCGGGTTTGAGTCGCAGTCTCCTCGCATTGCATAATATTTTAAAGTAACATTTGGTTCAATTTCAGTAAATCCAACTTACCCTTTAACAAGATTGTTTTTTTAACTTCTTCTAGTACAAGTTGAGTTTTGTTTTCAATATTTGTGAGTTCAGAAAATACATTATAAATTTGTCATTATCATGCTTCATAATTTTTTGTTTTTGTTTTTCTAGTGTGAATTTGTTACTATATATGCCAACATTATTACGAGTGAATGTCGAAGGAGTAATTTGGACTGTCCTTTAGAAAACATAGACTTTGACTAGTAGCCTAAAATTATAACTCTGATTCCACGCTCTTAAATAAAAAAAAACATATTATTTATCTAGGAACTAGTTTGAACGATATACCGGACTGAAATGGAGAACTCAATATCTCAGGTAAGCAGATGAGTGCAGGGCGTTTAGTTGGACAATCTCTTTGTTAGGAAGCTGAAATTGCACCCAGCCTATATATCATGGCTCCTGCATTCAACAATTGATCATTCAGTTACACTGGGGCATATATCTACTGTGAATCTTCATTCAGTTACACTGGGGCATATATCTATCACTAAAAAGGTACTGTGAATCTAATTATAGAGAACTCGAAGCAAAGGAACCCAAAATGGAATGTGTGGCACAAGGCACGTCTAAACATCTGATCAGACCGAGCATCACAACGACCGGACGCCATCAAGGACATGATTTTTTGTATGTTTTGTAGAGACCAACATACAGCATGTCAGCATTCATGTCTGATCTTTGATATAATGCATAAACAGATAGAGGTAAGACATAAAAGATGAGTGCTCTAAAAAGATACAGATAATCCATATATCATCATTCTATCCATGCGGAGTGATGTAGTTCATAATTTAGTTTTTAGTTTGTTGATGAGAACCAGATCCTGCTAGATGAGTAGACCAGGAACAACACATCCAGCAACAGTTTCTGTGTAGGCACATACAGCAGGTTCCCTTCGGAAAACAAGGGAGGTGAAGCCACACAATAGACTCAATAATTCAGCCGGAACAGTGTTTTTCTTTCACAACAATTCAGTTAGAACAGTGTTTTTCAGCCAGTTTCAGCAAGCCGAACGAAACCAATGACAATAAATATTCGTAAAACATGTCAGAATTACAAACCGTTAAAAGAAGCACTGGAAGTCAACAGAAAGGAGGGGCGCTGTGTTGTGTGAGAAAATGTACAGAGAAACCATGACTTGAGTACAACAATCGATTCACTGGAAACATGCGTGATTGTACTGATATACAACTCAAGCTGCAATAATAACACATCAGTAAAATTCTCTATAACACGGTTGTACCCACAAACCAGAAGCCTACTACATATCTTCAATCATGTTGTGAGCAGCAGATAAACAAGGCCTTTCAAATATTCAACTATCTCGGACCCACCAAGTTTTGAAATTCCAAATACTCTGTCAACAAATGTTATTGGAACCTGGAGAGGAGAAGGCAATCAACGATTCATTTACCAAAGTCAAGAGATGATCCAATATTATTCGATGAAAAGCAAGACCCCACAGTGGCATACCTCTTCAATGTGATAACCTTTCCTAGTAGCCCTAACAATCATCTCCATCTGGAACACGTAGCCCTTGCTGACACATGAGGAGATTAAGTCTTCCAGGACATCTCGCTTATATAGCCTATTATGATATGCTCATCAAAAGAGGTGATTGAAGGGTGGGTATTTAATCTGTTCGAGATAAAAGAAAGACAGACCTAAATGATCCGGTTAAATCTGAAGCTCCAGGCTGTAGTAACGTTTGTGCAAGAACATTTGCACCTCTGCTAGTCAGCTTGCGCATGAGATTCCAACCATGGACACCACCATTCTTAACATACCGTGTGCCAGTTACAACGTCAGCTCCAGTTTCCTTTTGTTTCCTGGTTAAGGAAATAACATGATTAAAAAAGACACGTTTTGTACACTACTTCATTTCAGTAGCCTCAGTGAGGAGCCCAAAGGGACCAACTGACAAGCTCTACTTGAAATGTGTTTTCAGCTATTGGATCCAACAACTGTGACACTATTATTTTTTTGTCGCTAAAGATATTTTGAGAACAAATTGGACTGAGAATTATATGCACTAAAAAAATAGATTTGAGGATGCAGACTAATATCTGTAAAATAACATGTAGTAGATACCCAATAACTCTTTATATCTTCAGAGATACGATTCTTACCTAATAAAGCTTGGCAAGTATTTTGGCTGTTCAGAGTGGGAAAATAGTTAGTAAGCTAGGAAGAAAAATATTGTAAATAGCAAACATAACAAAAGTAGTAACAGAAAGAAGAAAAGGTGAAAAATTTATACATGGTGAGATAGGTCCGCATCCATGATAACGACAAATTCCCCTGAGGCATGCTTTAATCCATGTAAATATGCCGTACCTGGATATTTCCAGTTGCTACTTAATATAAGTGGGGAGAATAATTTCAGTAAAAAATTAAAGTCAGATGTCTAAACTCACCAAGTCCTAGCTTCCTTGGCCTAGCTCGCAGTAGCTGGCATCATGTCAGGTTAAAGACAATGCATTAAGCCATGACACTGAACAAACAGATTAACACCACATGTACAAAAACTTCAAGTGGACCAGGAGCATATACTTACAACAAAATCTTCACCATATACTTGCTGCAGTTGTTTTACAATGTCCTGAGTTCCATCTGGACTACCATCATCCACAACAATGATCTCAAAGTTCACATCCCTGGGGTAAAAAAATGTCAAATCAGGTTATATAATATGTAAGAACTTGGCAACATATCTATATGAATGTAACAATTTTTCCTTTCCACCACAGTAGCAAGCTTCCAGCAAACAATGGAAGTTAAATAATGGCCATGTAACGCATGGTGACATTCTAAGAAAAGGGACACACAACAAGCCAACAGTTGCAAGTTGTAATACCTAATAGTGCATTTGATATCCAAGCAGGAGAGCTTCTCATCTCAGAAACACGGATACGGCAGGGAAGGTGCGTATCCCGTATCGGATACGTATCCGATACAGATACGCCTGGGATACGGCTGGGATACGTATCCGCGGCGTGTCCGTGTATCCCTGTTTATTTGGGCTGGAAACTAAGGAAAGGAAACGTTTCGGCCCAGCCCAACTTACCACCATCCCATTCTGCCTTTGCCCTACTCCCGACCCCTCCCACGCGCAGTCCGCCTCACGCAGCCGCCTCCGCCTCCCGACTGGCCAACTCCCCCACGCAGCGCCCGTGTCCGCCGCCCGCCGGCGACCAGCCTCCGCCCTCGCCGGCGACAAGGAGCCCCCGCGACGGCGACGAAGAGCTGCACCCCGCCTCCAGCAACGAGCCCCTGCGACGGCGAGTCGGAGACTGCACCCTGCCTCGTGCCCCCTGCTTAGGTGAGTTCCTCTCCCTCCCCAATCCAATTTAGATCTGAGCCACGGCATAGCATCGCCGCCTCCTACGCAAGGCATACACCACCGCTCACCGCTCGCCGGCGACGAGCCTCCGCCCCGTCCGAGGCATCATTTGACTTCTCCCCTCCTCCAAACTGCCGCACTGGGGAGCACCCACCAGTCCGCCATGGCCGCAGCCAGCTCCCGCAATGCAGGGGAGAGATGCAGGGGAGAGGACGATTCAACAACAAAGCAAGCTCCTGGCGACATCCCATGAGTACATCCCCTTCCCCATTCTTGATCTACTCTGCTGCAGTTGTTGTTGCTTGGTTTTGTTTGTACCCTCCCTGATTAGTATTGGCCATGCTTGATTGCTTGCATGCAGTAGATGACCTCTCCAAATTTGGGTCCTAGCATCGGATCTGTGGCCACCAGCCACAACCACAACATACGATAGGGGGGCTCTCTGTTCCTGACTTCTCATGTTCTAGAATTTTAGTAATTGGGGATTCATCCAGTATGGTTGGACTTGGATCATCTGTGAAAACAAGAAACCTACAAGGTAATCTGGTGATGTATATATCACGTATGATTGCATGTAGAGTACTGAACTAATGATTAATTGATTAGTGATTACTCAAGTTATAGACTTTCAGAATTTTAATTTACATTATTACTTATTTATTAAAAAAATTGTAAAATGTATCCACGTATCGTGTTTTCTGGGAAATTGCCGTATCCGCGTATCCGTATCCGTATCCGTGCTGCTTAGCTTCTCATGACCCATTTGACATATCCGATGAACTCATAAAAGTTTTTCAAGTTTTTCTGTCTGATGGATTGAATTAGGCCTGCCCAGCAGGACAGCACTAGAATGAAGGGTATCTATGACCTGTATGGCCAAAATACACAAGTAAAAAAAAGGAAAACTGGTTGCCACTATGATAGTTCAAGACTTGATAAACAAGAAGCAAATTCTAGCTCAAATGTTGGTAAAATAGCACTAGAAAATTGTTTCAGTTCTGGTTCTCAGGAAAAAAAAAAAGGTGGACAGTGACCACTTCAACAGTACTGGCATCATTAGAACTCTGCAACTATATACTGTAAGATGTGCAAGCAGAGCTCAAGGGAGGGCTGGTTAATGTCCGCATAACAGAGTTCGAATTGCAGCAAAGCCCCGCTCTATGCGGGGTCTGGGGAAGGGTGTTAGTGGCAAGCCTTACCCTCACGTGTGCAATGCGAGGAGACCGCGACTCGAACCGGAACCTTCCGATCACAGGCGGTAAGACTCTACCGCTCGCACCAGGCCCGCCCTTCAAAATTGCAGCAAAGAGGGAACATAAAGAATCTATGTCATCTACTTGGACGCATAATGGAGTAACAAGTGATTCTACTTTATGATTCACATGTGCCTGCAGTTGCATCTCAGAGCAAGGTAACACCTAAACAGATCGGCAGTTCCATTCACATATTCAGATCAGGCCGATTCTTGTTAAGTAGGTTATTAATCTAATCGATCCAGTTGACGCACGCAACCGAATGACATCTAATCTAATGAAATCAAATCCGACAACGTTCACCACTGAAGATCTCGACGCAACCGTAGCAGCAAAAGGCGCAACGGAGAGAGACAGATCAGCGCCGGACGGGAGAAAGGGAGCTGGGCGGTGCTTACGGGAGGTGCTTGAAGATGAGGTAGACGATGAGGGCGATGTTCAGGCGCTCGTTGTAGGTGGGCACGATGATGCTGTACGCGCGCTTGCGGCCCGCCGCCGCCTCCATGGACGGCCGACTGGACACAGCACCGGATCTCTCCCTTCTCCTCAAGCGAGCGCTCCGTCGGAGCCTCGCTGGGTCGCTGGGTCGGGAACAAGTGGCTCCGCAACTGACCGTCGTCGCTCGCAGCCCGCAGCCGCCGTTGCAGAGGAGGACGAAGCCGGCGAGACGAACAGGGCCAGGCAGGATGGCCGGGCTCAAGCCCCCATGGGCATGCGTGTGATTGGGTTTAGGCCTGCGCAACTTTCGGGCCCAGGCCCATAGCCCACGAATGTATATTCTAAGTACATTGTTATGTTCTGTCAGATAGGCCAGTGAAGAAGTAAAAGTTAAAAAAAAAAACGATTTGAAGAAATTAAAAAACTTTGAAGACCTCTAGAGCGTCTACGAGAGTCTTTCTAAATCTTACTCTTTAAATCATCATTTGGAGAGCCATTTGCATAAAAATAACATTCTATATCTTTTTACTCTGTCTTTTTTTTTGCGAAGTTCTTATTCCGTCTTTCTAATCTCAATCTCTAAATTATCATTTGGAGGGCTTCTTTGGCTGACGAGAAATCCGTAATAGAAGATGACTATATTTACATAACCAATAACCAATTAAAGAAGTTGTTATAGTGTATCTTTTTCACCGAAATCTCTATTCGTAGAATTAGAAAGAAATATAGATAGTCTCTTAGAGTTGCTCTTACACTCTTCTTTTAGTTCCAAAACCTACTTTGTATCCAAAATTGTGAAATTCAAATAAGAGGTGTTAAACTTACTTTGTATCCAAAATTATGAAATTCAAATAAGAGGTGTCAAACTGTTAAGGCTTTGTTTGGGTGCATGTGTATTAACTTCAATCCACATGTGTTGGAATGGAATGGAATAGAATGGAACTTAGTTTAATTTCACTCTAATACAATTCAACACATGTGGATTGAGATGAATACATACACATCCAAACAAGACCTAAGTTAATAATGTAAGCACACGGAAATACAGCACACAAAAAAGAGAGCCAAAAAAAACCTGAAAGTACCTCACAGGGTACCACAAGGAACAAATAATGTACTTACTCGTTTCGTTTTCATTTGGTATGTGGCCGCCTAAAATCAGTTGAAGATCATGCGCCAGATGTTATTTTTCTATAACTGATCTCATATACAGGGTTAAAGAAAAAGCAGTCCAAATCTTCTTTTCCTCTCATCTTTAAATAATCATTTAAATGCAATAATTGATACAGAAAACACAAATTCCAATTGCAGCAAGATAAAGAATACATAGTACTGTAGCACGTAGAATATATACACACACGAAGAGAACATAAGCTACCAAAATAAAAAGGATCAGTACTTTCAGTACTTTCGTTTGCGCCTTAAACTAATCAGGCTAGAATGTTCTTGCACTCTGAGTGAGGAAGTCAGAAACCAACAGTAACATTTCATTCGAACACATCTAAACATACTGCCATCTCAAATTTGCAAAAGACTTCTTGCTATATTTTGGAGCTGATGAAGACCCCGAACTGGCAAGGCCATGAAATGCTACGAGTTCTTGTGCCAAAGGGATTTGAAAGGCAACTGAGAAAACCATGACTCAGAGCCTGAAGATTTAGGAGACGCACTTGAAACAGCATGCGGATCTCGCCAGAACTTGAGAACATAAAGGCTCTCCTCCTCAGTACACCTCTTCAAGACAACGCGTGATGCATACCCCATCTCACTCATCAGATGGCATATATCTGAAGGATCATTATCTTCGAGGGCCACCATGTACAGCCACCCTCTTTCTGATAGCATCTCACGCACAGCAGGAAGGATCCTGTCTATCACTTGGCGCCCGTTCAAACCTCCTGCCCAAGACGAAGCAATGCCTTTGCATCCAACTTCTTCCACAGGAGTTGGCACATAAGGAGGGTTAACAACTGCCACATCAACCATACCAGCAAGGCGTTTATCAAGACCAGACACGATATCAGTAACAATCACATCTGCATGCACCCCATGAGCCTCAAGGGTCGCTTGAGTTGTCTCGGCAGCATGTTGGTTGATGTCAGTTGCTAGGTACTGGGCTCCAGAGCCTAATTGCCTGAGCATGATTGCAAGAGAGGTGATGACATAACCACTACCAGACCCTACCTCCATACATAACCTTGGCTGTAGTGTCAAAAGTTGTGCTTTGTCTGAGAGTAGTGCATCAACAAGGGCAAAGGAATCGTCACATGGCTCATACACATCTGGATGGCTGGCAACAAGCGGAATTTGTGCAGTGTTTAATGTCCTCCCGGAAGAAGCCTGCAAAAATAAGTTTTTGTCATACAACTAGCATAGAGATTCGCAGAAATAAATATAGATTGCACATATTATTTTTTCTATCTGTTTAAAGCAAGCATAATAATTGGTTAGAATGAAACAAAAATAGTACATGACAAAATGGATGATATGCTTTTTAGCACTCCAGCAGTGAACATCGAAAAGAGCACAATAGTTGAATGTCACTTAGTGGAATTGGATAATATCTCGCCATTCATTTCCTGTAAATGCAACATTTTGGCAACCGACATGTCTCTCTTACATTAAGGATATCCAGCAACATAATTTAACGGCATTGATGATCACCAGAACAGTTCAACATGGTGACTATATGCAGTACTTATAACACACTATAGTTCAGTATGCTGAGGACTTTTAGTGGGCATGTTGAGGACTTTTGAGATCTTCAACAAGACATTGTGGCCGTCATGTCTCTTTCTGCCCAAGCCCAACCTAGATTGTGTTAGTTAAATGACTTCAGTGCTTATTACTGAGAAAATTGTACCAAAGATTGATTCAGGATCAGATTTCCGAACTACTAAATCCAACTTTAGTGAGGATGGGGATCGCCGCCGCCCCTTCCGGGCAACTACCTTGCGGCGGTGGCGCCGCCATGGATATTCAAAACGAGCTCGGATCCTGCACCTCACCACCTCCGCTAGGTTTCATATCGGAGGAAACGAGGACTCCGCTCCCAAACCCTCGGCTTTTCTCCCAATCCCAAGACGTAGGAGGACGAAGTGCTCACCTTGCCCCTCCTGGGGAGCCCCTTCTCGGTGCCGGAGGGGAGCTCCGCCAGCTTCCCCGTCGCCGCCGCGCCGTCGCCGGCGCCGTCCGCCATGGAACAGCAGTCGCTGGGCCGCTGGGGGTGACTGGATGAGAGATGCCGCCGCGATGTTGACCTGTCGCAAGTTGCGTGCGGCGGCGTGCTGGTGAGAGAGAATAGGAAAGGAAGGGAAGTGTCTTTTTAACTGAACCGACGCCACGGCGGACAGGTTGGTCAGGCTCAGCCCGCTCGGGAGAGGGCGCGCTGCGATTCTATCCACTTCCCCCGGAGGCAAAAATCTCCCCTCCCCCCGAAATCCAAGGCGTGGTGGAATCCTAAACCCCCTCAGCGCGCGGCGATGGCGCTCGTGTCCACCGCCACCGTCGCGTCGTCGTCCTACCACTGCGACATCCTCCTCTTCCCGAGGACCAGGAGGAGCTGGCGCGGGCCGAGGTGGAGCCGCGGCGGCGCCGGTGCGGGCGCGAGGCTACCGGTGCTGCAGCGAGCGGGCGGTGGGCTTGCGGTGCTGGAGCGAGCGGGCGCGGGCGCGGGGCCTGCGGTGCTGGAGCGAGCGGGGGCCACGGCGGCCGCGGCGAGAAGGGAGGAGCTGGTGCCCGCGGGGAATGGCAGGAACTCGTACGAGGTGGAGTCGCTGATCGACCGGCTGAGCAACCTGCCGCCGCGGGGCTCCATCGCGCGCTGCCTCGAGACGGCGCGGCACCGGCTGACGCTGCAGGACTTCGCGGCCGTGTACCGCGAGTTCTCGCGACGCGGGGACTGGCAGCGCTCGCTCCGGCTCTTCAAGTACATGCAGCGCCAGTCGTGGTGCCGCCCCGACGAGCACATCCACGCTATCGTCATCGGCGTGCTCGGGCGCCAGGGCCCCGCGCTGCTCGACAAGTGCCTCGAGGTGTTCCACGACCTCCCCGCCGAGTCGCGCACCGCGCTCTCCTACACCTCCCTCATCGCCGCCTACGCGCGCAACGCGCTGCACGAGGAGGCCCGCGCGCTGCTCGACCAGATGAAGGCCGCGGGGGTCGCGCCCACCGCCGCCACCTACAACACCGTGCTCGCCGCCTGCGCCCGCGCCACCGACCCACCCGTCCCCTTCGACATGCTCCTCGGCCTCTTCGCTGAGATGCGGCACGACGCGTCCCCCTCCGTGCGCCCCGACCTCACCACCTACAACACCCTCCTCGCCGCCGCCGCCGTGCGCTCTCTGGCTGATCAGTCTGAAATGCTGCTGCGCACTATGCTTGAGGCCGGCGTCTCCCCGGACACTGTATCTTATCGTTACATTGTGGATGCCTTTGCCAGCGCCGGCAACCTCTCCCGTGTAGCCGAGCTGTTCTCCGAAATGGCTGCCATGGGGAACACGGCGGATGCCTCTGCGTATCTAGGACTCATGGAGGCACACACGCGTGTTGGCGCCACGGCTGAGGCAGTGGCTGTGCTGCGGCAGATGCAGGCTGATGGATGTGCGCCAACAGCTGCCACTTACCGTGTCCTGCTCGATCTTTATGGAAGGCAGGGGCGGTTTGATGGAGTGCGCGAACTCTTCCGTGAGATGAGAACTGCTGTACCGCCAGACACGGCCACATATAATGTGCTCTTCCGTGTATACGGGGATGGTGGCTTCTTCAAGGAGGTGGTGGAGCTCTTCCATGATATGCTTGAAACTGGGGTAGAGCCTGATATGGTGACCTGCGAAAATGTCATGGCTGCCTGTGGTCGTGGTGGCCTCCATAAGGATGCAAGAGAAGTTCTTGAATATATGACCAGAGAAGGAATGGTACCTACTGCAGACGCCTACACTGGCCTGGTTGAGGCTCTTGGCCACGCGGCTATGTATGAGGTAAGGAAACAAATCCGAAAATCGTAACCCTGAGTAATCCCACCTGTGATGAAATGATTTATTTGTGACCTTTTCGGTATGCAGGAAGCCTATGTTGCTTTCAACATGATGACCGAAATCGGTAGCTTGCCAACTCTTGAGACCTACAATGCTCTTGCGTTTGCATATGCTAGGGGTGGGCTCTTCCAGGAGGCTGAGGCCATCTTTTCTCGGATGAGTAACAATGCTGGCATTCAGAAAAACAAAGATTCATTTGATGCCCTCATCGAAGCATATTGCCAGGGCGCACAATTGGATGATGCAGTGAAGGCGTACATGGACATGCGCAAATCCAGGTTTAATCCAGATGAGCGGTCCCTTGAGGGGGTACTTAATGCCTACTGCATAGCAGGGGTCATAGATGAGAGTAAAGAACAGTTTGAAGAGCTTCAATCTAGCGTGACTGTGCCCAGCATCATTGCCTATTGCATGATGTTGTCACTATATGCTAGGAACGACAGGTAATGGTGAAGGACTCGTTCGTTGTCTTAATCTGTATTCCCTCTGGAAGATTAAAAAGGGGGGCAAACCCAGTGCCAGAGGCTCCCACATGAGTGGGGTCTGGGGAATGGAAAAACCGAGGCAAGCCTTCCCCCCGCAAATCTGTAGAGAGGCTGCTTCGAACCCAGTGACTCAGTGAGACAGCTCTCACCACTGCACCAGGCCTGCACCACTCTGGAAGATTGCTCATGGTTTTTATAACAAACAGCACATTGCATGTTCTCGACTGAAACTTAGATTGCATTAACAATGTGTTATATGTTTCCTTATGAAACTAACTGGTTTTGGGGGAAAATAGGAAAATATATTTCTGAACTGCAATTTGATGTGCTTGTCATCTACATTTTAGATTGCTAATCAAAGTTCAAACAAGCAATTGTAACATAAATTGCAAAAAACAACTGACCCTCAGCCTCCAAAAACAATTGAGCACCAAACAGCATGCTGGTAAGCGCTAATAGAATTTAGATTAATAATTTATCAGATCAGGGATCCTGATCCTTGTTCACCCAATCACCCTTACCAATACAATTGAGCGCTCAATTTCAGAAGCAGTTGTTTCATGGTGTGTTGAGTCACACATCATGGTACCACCTGTTTTCACTTTGGTACTATTGGGTATGAATTCATATTTATTCTATGCTTTGTGTTGGAATAGGTTTCTTCTGTTATTTTGTGTGCTCTTTCTGGTGCTTAGCAATCTTACGTTGGCCATGGATATTAATCTAGGTATGGCCAGGTCTACATTATTAAGGATTTCAGGAAACTAATGGACGACTGCACAATGCCTATAGTCACAATTATCAGTTTAAACCAAACTATTGTCAAAGAGACGATCAATGCTTTGGATGCAAAGCGTATTTGTGTTTATATAATTTAGAATACTCTGAAAATATTATCTTATTTGGTGTCAGATATGACATTGATGTGCAGACTACATTCCCTATTTCTACCCAATGTGATTGGACCACACCATAATCAATGTTCATTTTTCAGGTGGTCTGATGCGTATGATCTGCTGGAAGAAATGAAAACAAATCGTGCTAGTAGTACACATCAAGTAATTGCTTCCCTAATCAAAGGGGAATATGATGATAGCTCCAACTGGCAAATGGTTGAATATGCCCTCGAAAACAGTGCCATGGAAGGCTGTGACTATAGTTTACGATTCTTCAACGCTCTCCTTGATGTGCTTTGGTGGTTTGGTCAGAAGGGCCGAGCTGCAAGAATTCTGGATCAAGCAGTAAAATTTGGGCTCTTCCCTGAGTTATATCGTGATACCAAGCTCGTCTGGTCACTAGATGTACATAGGTAATGCTATATGTCTCGTTCATAGTATTTGTGTTAAGCAACCTGATTTTCTTTCGGCTAGGCTGTACTCACTATCAGTTTGCATTTCAGGATGTCTGTAGGTGGAGCACTGGTGGCTGTATCAGTATGGCTCAATAAGCTTTATGACAGACTAGTAGAAGATGAAGATCTTCCACAGTTAGCATCTGTTGTTGTATTGTAAGCTTCCAGCCTAATACTCAAATGTTCCTTTCATATTATCATCTTATGTTGCTCTCTTATGGTATATTCTTGAATTGGCTCTATAATTAGTTCAGTTGTTTTGCTTGATATATTCACAGAAGTGCAACTTGATTTTAAGCTAGTGCCTATACTGCCGTTTGAACTTTACATGAAGAGAGGGCCTTGGAGGGTATAATTGGGTATTTTACTGCAAGTACAAAATTGAAACGTGAACTTTTTCACAGGATAACAATACTCCATAATTGTCATTTCAATTTTATTCTCATAGAACAATATCTTGCCTTCACTCACATATAATTGTCTAGTTCAGTGAATATTTTCCTGCTAGCCTGCTTTGGTCTGTCTGATAGTTTTTCAATATCCAGGAGAGGTGAAATGGAGAAAAGCACAATTACAAGAGGACTGCCAACCGCCAAAGTTGTCTACTCCTTTCTAAATGATACACTATCAGCATCCTTCCACTTCCCAAAATGGAACAAGGGACGAATCATATGCTTGAAGTCCCAGTTGAAAAAGCTGCAGTCAGCCGTAGATTCCTCAAATGGATCTCCTGCAGCTGGTTTTGTCCCCATGACGAACTCCCCTTTGCCGTCTCCTGGTTCCAAGATATATACAAGGGAGGACCAATTGGAAAATGGTACCGGCCATTTGCCAGACGAACCGTTGGTAGAGGAAAAGGAGTCAGAGCTTCTCGCATTGTGAGTTCTCAGGAGCTGCTACCCTTCGCATCTGCAGTTGTGATGCCATCAGTCTGAACAAGGGGAGACGGGATCCAGAATAACAGCCATATTTTGGGAGTTTGCTCATTCAGGTCTCCGTCTCAGTACTATGGCACATCCATTCGCATTTTTGCAGAGCGCGGATGGCTTCAGTTATGCATGGTCCTTGTGAAAAGGTGAGTTCAGTTATCTACGGTGGATGCTACTGCAGATTCACATCTTGCTTGAAATTTGTCTGAAACTTGTGAGCCGCTAGCTACTGCAAGTTTGACAGATGACAGACAATGCTGAACGTCAGTTGCATTTCAGGATTTTAGCACGTTGTAGGGAGAATGAGCTTATGGGTGTGTTGTTTGCCGCTCACTTGCTGTGTATGACATCCTTGTACGCCTAGCTCAACTCTGTAAAACATGATAGCCTCGTTAGCCTGATAAGTCACTGTTAGTGAATCATGTCAACTGTTGATACCCTCTCCTGATGAGGGAAATAGTGCCTGTAGTGTGATTTCTTTTCTTATACAGGGTCGCCGTGCCAAATGTCACTTGAATGTTTTGTTGCTTTTATCTGTATCTATCTGTATGATGCCGAATCTCAGATATTGAAGTGACTTTCATGTTCAAACAAGGAAGAGCTGGGAAATCACAAAATGGATCCACTGTCATGTGGGGCAGCCACTAAACGAAGCCACTGGTATGTGGAGCCAGGCCTTTCGATTGGTTTCTTCCATAAAAAAGTCTACTTGATCCCTCCACCTTTCATACATGATCTACTTCACCCTAACTATGAAACCGTCTGTTTTACCCCCTGAACTTTTAAAAACCGTCTACTGACCTTTTAAAAACCGTCTATTTTACCTCTCCGGACGGTTTTTGATAGACGGTTGCTACAGTAACCGTCTATTCCAATTAATTAAAGACAAAATTAGCTTTTCCAATTAATCTAATGCTACAATAAAAATTTTGTACTAAAGCATACCGTATTATATATTCATTGTGTAGATCTACTCAGGTGGAGTCCAATAAAATTAGATTTTTCATTTTATAATTTTTCTATGATTTTTCAAAAATTCACCAAAAATAAATAAAAAGAGAAAATTCAAACCCGCCGGCACTATAGCAACCCACCGTTACTGTATCAAACCCACCGTTACGCAGCCACCGATGTTACTGTAGCAAGCCGCTGTCGAAAACCGTCCAGAGATAAAATAGACGGTTTTAGAAAGTTTAAAGGGTAAAATAGATAGTTTCATAGTTAGGGGTGAAACACACCATGTATAAAGTTGAGGGTTAAGCATACTTTTTCCTTTCTTCCACCAGCCGCCGTGCTACTGCCCAGAGTATTCGAACCCGGGAGCCAGAGCGGCAGAGCCCAAGCTACCACCTACCAGAGGCTGGAAGCGACGGCGCCGCCGGAGATGGAGATGGAGACGGAGGCGGCGGCGGCGAGGCAGGCGAAGGAGTCCCTGGAGCTGGCGTTTCAGATGTCCCAGATCCTCGACACCGGCCTTGACCGCCACACCTTGTCTCTGCTCATGGCGCTCTGCGACCGCGGCGCCAACCCCGAGGCCCTGGCCGCCCTCGTTCGCGAGCTCTCCTCCGCTGCTCCCCCAACCGCCGCAGCCGCAGCCGCCGCCGCGGTTTCCTCCCCCGTGAGCAACGGCGCCGCGGGGCCGGCCCCGGCAACTGCGTCGATGTTCCCCTCCGGCCTTCGCCGTCCCTAGGGTTTGTGATATCCCTTTCTTCCCCGATGAGACTGCTTATCAGTTAGTCGACTAGATCCCGTAGTATGCAGCCGTTGTGAATGCCTGAATGTAGCATTTCCTTCTGTTGACTAAATTTGTGCCTTTGGCTTATGATTATAATTCACAAAGGGATAATGATTCAGACAAAATGGGCATATAGCACGTGACTGCATAGATGTGTTGCTGACTGCATTTGGCATTATTCAAGTTACAATGTACTTATTTGAGTCACATTATTAGTTTGGAATCTCGCATCTTGCAAACAGGGAATGGTTATGTGAACTGTGAAGTTGGTTATTGTTTCTATGCAACATCAACAGTTGTGGTAGTTTCTCGTTCTCTATATGCCACTCTTTTAGTTATACCTTCTTGAGTAGTGGCATTGTCATGATATAGGTGTGTTGCGGTGACTAGTAGATTAATGGGGTGTTTGGTTGAGGAGTGGGGTAGTCCATCATACTCTCACTCCTAATGGGGTGTTTGGTGGAAGGGCGGGCCTGGTGCAAGCGGTAAAGTCTTACCGCCTGTGACCGGAAGGTCCCGGGTTCGAGTCGCGGCCTCCTCGCATTGCACAGGCGAGGGTAAGGCTTGCCACTGACACCCTTCCCCAGACCCCGCACAGAGCGGGAGCTCTTTGCACTGGGTACACCCATTTTGGAATGGAATGGATTGATCCACCATCATCTCATCCCTCATAAGCTAATAATTAGTATAACCACCTCATGCCACTAAAATGCATGTGATGAAGACCACCTCACCTGTGTTCCTGTCCAGACTTCACCGTTCATAGGGTTTGTGGCATCCTTTCTTCCTGGGTGAGATTGCTTATCATTAGTCAAACTAGATCCCACAATATGCATTTAGCCACTGTGAATGACTGAATGTAGTGTTTCATTTTGTTGATTAATTTTGCATCTTGGCTAATGATTCACATTCACAAGCAGATAATACATGGACTGTTGTAGTTCCTAGATGAATTGGTTCAGACAAAATGTGCATATGTTACAAGACTGCGGACATGTGCTGCGGCCTGCATTTGGCATCAAGATTCAAATTACAATGTCTCTATTTGGGTTACACAATTAATTTGCAATCTGGCATTTCTACAAATAGGGAATCGAGGTATGAGGTATGGGCATGTGCACTGGGGTGGGGGGGTGTTCTATGCAAGGAGAACAGTTATGTTAGTATCTATCTCTTGTTCTATATAGATATACCTCCTTTAGTAGTGGTATTGTGATGACATAGGTGCGTTGAAGCAACTAATAGATTGATTGTCCATGTGATTCGGTTGAGAATGTTAGTACATCAAGTGTTCCATCACAAATCGATTTTATGCTGTAGTAGAGTGCTGACAAGTTACTTAATTAGAGTCTAGAGTGTCACAAGCTTCTCGATTGTCCTCGGATAGTTGATCAGATATAGAGGTGATAATCCATGAACAATTCATTGATCGAGTTGAATATTATTGTCTTTTTTGTGTTCATATGGCGTCAGCTCTACCTATCACTTAAGAAGCAAGAGGTTGTTATTGATTGCAACTATAGATTGAGATTCGATTTTTGTTGGAACATAGATAATCAAGCAATGCTATGCGGTGCATGTGGGTTGGCTTCTACATGTACCATTTTCTTTTGTTTCCTGGTGCTGGATAGGTCTAATACTCTGTGATATCACCAAATGGTTACATTGGATTTCAAATTGGTTGATTGTCGTTCTTCTGATGAATGTTATTTATAGCTGTGGTACCCGTTTCAGAACAAAAAATAGCGTTGATACTGATACTGCTCAGGACGAAATTAGGCTTCACAACATGGTGCTGTCACACCAATAGCCCTCATGGTGACTTTTAGCTGTAAATCGTTTGGCTCAATTTTTCGAGTTTTATATGATACACATTGGTCAATCACTTAGAACTGCTGCTTCAACATTATCCTGCTGCTTATCTTTTCCATCGCATAGTTCCATGGGTCAAATCTGAGCTATCAAAAGCATTTTGTCCAGGGCATTGAGATTTGAGATTTGACCTAATCCTATCTGAAAAGCATTTGTCTCTTCATGGGGATGATATTTCTTGCATCTGTGCTTTTAATTAGGTGCTGCTAAAGTCTGGATGGAACCGACGTAGTTTTTGAAGCAAGAGCAGATCTCGCTGCTGGGAATCGCTGTCTGAAAAGGATTGCCTTTACAACTCCATGTGCGCTGTTGTGGCTGTTGTTTCGACAAGAAACCTGCGGTTGGGTTCATAGAGCTACAGAAATCCACGTATCCCTCGCAGGACTTGTGCGGGTTAACAGTAGTTGTATAATCCTGAGGATTGAGGAGTCATTGTCTCTTCACCCATCATTGGACTGCTTCCATCAGTTGTATGTATCGGTTTCACGCCCGGTCTTTCGCTTAATTATCCTCTCTTTGACCACACACATCCTTTCGCACTGGCATGTGTTTCTCTTGGGAGGGAACGTGTCATGTCTACCCATCGAGCAGTGACATCTTTATCGCTACACCCCTGTCCTGTTATGAGTGCATAGTGATACCATTCACTGTTCCTCCACTTGCCATATCTCGATCTGATCGAGCTCTTGGCCGTTATTACGGCGGTGAAAAAGAGCTGCCTGCAATCGCCAATTCATAATTGTGTAGGTTTCATCGACGCCTACAGGCTACAGGTTGTCCAGGTTCAACGCATCGATATCGTGTTACTCCATGATTGCAAAGTTTATATAAATTTTTTGTTTTGATTGACGGATTGCAAGCTTATTTTAGCTTGGTCACAGGTCAGGAATTGTGGCTGAATCTTGAACGGAGCAAAGCAAACATATTCGAATCGATCAATCAATCAAGTAAACCACTACGACTAGGCTGTTAAAGAACGCCGGCCTGGGCCGACCCGGCCTGCCTCCGAGTGGACCTGTCGTGCGCCGGACCGCCCCCGATGGCCCACCAGCGCAGCCTCAGATCAGTCATTTTCTAGAAGGGAAAAAAAAAAAGGTAGGTCAAGCCGCGGTTGCGACGCGGTGTGGGCGAGCCGAACCAAGCGGCGATCGATCGAGGCCAAGGCGTGGCGTGGCTGTCGGAGATGTCGCAGAAGAGGCAGCCGGATGAGAGCGACGGACCCCGGCGCGCCAGCGGCGGAGGAGGCGAGCCCGGTGGGAGCTCATCATCATCCTCCCTGCCCCAGCGCCCCGGCGAGCCGAAGCGGCAGAGGATCGCCCTTCGCGAGTGAGTTCGCCTCCCCTCGCGCTCTCGATTGGGTCGCACCGATTCGTGCGCGTCGCTCTCTGACTCGATGCCGTGGTGACTTGGATTGTTCCCCTTGCAGTGTGATCTCGGAGGTGATGCGGAACACCAACATCGAGAAGTTTTTAATTGCGCTCGAGCCCCTCATCAGGAGAGTGGTGAGACCGCCTTTTGTCTGTTATTACTAATTATTTACTACGTGGCCAATTTCTCGCTTCTGTGCGTTGAGTGAAAATTCTTAGGATTGAATAGTTGGTATGATGTGTGCCCTCTAGGTTGTTTATCTTTCCTTCTGTTGGTTGCATTGACGATACATAGTACTGTTGCAATCCCATCTGTATCTGTTGTTGATGACACTCTCATCTTGATTTTGGGTCATTCAATCAGTTGACTAATTCAGAAGTTGCAAACATGCCTAAGTTGCCCCCCAACCATTTCCAACTTAATTTATTAGAGCCCTACAAACCTGCAGATTGGATAAGAATTAACATGCTTTAGGTTTCAAGATCACACCAGCGAGTTCTTCTTTACCTCCCAAACTACTCCTTGAGAAGCTAGGCTTTTATCTGTATCGTATTAATAGCTGTATAGGCTTGCTCTCATGAGTGTGTCCAGAATGATTCCAACCATACAAAATAAAGCTTCGTGTCCCTGTTTTCATTCTGTGTCCAGCCATTCCAGTTCAGTGATAGTTTTACAGTGGACTACAGCATAGGTTCGCCTTGAACCACCATTTGTTTGTTTCAGCCATCTACTGCTACCAACGGTTTTGATAGTTTATTCATTTCTAGGTAAAAGAAGAAATTGAGTCGGCTTTTGCAAATCATGCCTCTATGATGGCAAGGTATGGAGTTTTAACACTGCTTTTGACAACCAACATGATTTGTTATTGTTGCTGTATCTCTAATGAGTTTATTTCTTATTTTTCATTAGAAGTGTCACAGACAATGTTCCATGTGTTTCAAAGAATTTGCAGCTGCAGTTCATGACTAGACTTTCTCTCCCAATATTTACTGGATCCAAGATTGAAGGAGAGGGCTCCTTAAGTATAACTATTGCTCTAGTCGACGCTTTGACAAGACAAATTGTAGCACCAGGCAAGGAGTTCCAGATAAAGGTCGAGATTGTAGTTCTGGAGGGGGATTTTGAAAGTGGAGAAGATGATGACTGGACAGCTCAGGAATTTAACAATAACATTGTTAAAGAAAGAGAAGGCAAAAGGCCCTTGATTTCTGGGGATGTATTCATTGCCCTTGTTGATGGCATTGGAACAGTAGGGGAACTTTCTTTCACAGATAACTCCAGCTGGACACGGAGCCGAAAGTTCAAGCTGGGTGCAAGAACTGAGGATGGTTGTTTCAATGGTGTAAGAGTACGGGAAGCAAAAACTGAATCATTTGTGGTTAAGGATCATCGAGGAGAATGTGAGTTTATGATTGGATTTTTTAAATTTCAATGCCCAAGCTATCCTTTTACTTTCTTGGCTTCTTGCTCTGCTAGGTTCATTCTAGGCTCACGAACGATTTGGCGTAGTGGCACTTAATTCAACAATTAGATGAAAAGTTTAAATTAACTCCTTCTTGTCCTCTAGAGTCTAGACTTAGTTATGGAAGACTAGTTGGGGTGGAAGGTGTGGTCATGCATCCAGTATCCCAACCACCAAGGTTTGAATCCTCTTGAACTCAAATTTGGGTGCCTATTTTCTTCTTAATGAAAGACCGCCTAGTTCCTCCTAGGCTGGTCTCGTTTTTCCCCCTCTAGACTTAGTTTTGTAGTATGTTTCCTTAACTGAGGGGTTTTGATATCCTACTGATCTACCTTTCCAATTGAATGATGAGACATGCTATTTCTCCATTGCCCAAAATGGTATATAATTTAATTGATTATCTCCTATTGACCAGTGTACAAGAAGCACCACCCACCATTTCTTGAAGATGAAGTCTGGCGCCTGGAGAAAATTGGCAAGGAAGGTGCTTTTCACAAGCGTTTGAATAGAGAAAGCATTTGCACTGTCAAAGATTTTCTCACCTTATTAAATCTTGATGCTTCTAGGCTTCAAAAGGTATTTTTCTTGTCTCATGTTGTTCTTCTGATGTTCTGCATATCGTTGCCTATGGTAGTTGCATTTCAGCAAAGATTAACCCTGCTTTATGTCCAAATCATGCAGATATTAGGTGGTGGCATGTCAGCAAAGATGTGGGAGGCAACTGTGGAACATGCAAAAACATGTGTTCTAACTGACAAAGTGCATCACTACTATCCTGACAGTCTAAACAAAGCTGGTGTTGTATTCAGTGTAGTTGGAGAAGTAAGAGGTTTAATATCTGATAAATATGTTTCTGTTGATGACCTTACTGAAAAGGAGAAGGTAACCATGTTGCATCACTTTCTAAGTTTCCTTTGAACAAGTTCATCCATTTTCCCTATACCTCCACCCTTTCTGATCTGGACCATCTGTTTTTACACGTTTGCTATTTTCAGGCTGAAGCACGTGCAGCAGTGAAGCAAGCATATGAACACTGGAAGGATGTCTTTACATGTGACAATGAAACGCTTGTGGAGAACCCTTCACAGCCATTCAATATGAGATCTCCATCTTTGCGTGAAAATCAATATAACCAGTTTCCCACGCAAGTTTCTACTGATGAATTTAGTTTGAGCCATTCGACCATACCATCACCTGACATTTTCTCAATGGAGCCATCAAGTGCTTTAGACCCTTGTGTATTGGAGACCGAAGAAACCAGTGCTAATCAATTTCAGTCGGTGTTGCCCCCAGTTGGGGGCAATGAAGTACCCCAAGAATTTCAGTCACTGGATAAGTTCTCCAACTCTTTGGTATATGATGACTGCACCACCCATCCCTCACTCAGTGAAAGCTATTACAGCAGTGTAGATCCCAGCATATCCTTTGACACACAAGATCTTGGAGCTGCACTGAAAGGCTTCATTGCGACCATCTCAAAGCCTAAGGCGGCATATAGAGGATGGAGAACATTGTCTTATGTTCTAGGATGGATTTTCTATACGAAGAGAATTGTTGCAAAGAGAAAGAAACATGGGAAATAAGTGTACACACGTCTGTGTAGTTAAATTGCAAAATAAGCGGAGAGATCATTGTACATTAGTTTGTTTCTTGTCACAGCTGGTAAGCTCTGCTGGCTTCTTCAGCTGTACATGAGAGCATTTTATCAGCTAGGGTTCCCTATGCGGCTGTAAATAATCAGATGAAGTTTTGTACAGGGTGAGGGATGCGCAAGCATTTGTGATGTTTTGGCTGGCTGGCCGAGCTTGATTTTTTTATGCGGCCCGTGTATTATCTATATAGTAGTATGCACTATGCTGCTTGATTTTGCAGTATTTTGGACATTTTGAACCTGCATGTCACATTTTAACAAGTTCATGTAGACGGTAATGTGTTTATATGGACCTGGATGACACTTCACAAAAAGCTAGACAGCATGTGCATGACGAATTGGACTTCATTTACAATAGAGCTTTGCCTTGAACATTGCATGACAAATTGGAGTCCACTTGCAATAGAGCTTTGCCTTCCTCCAACTTACATTAGAGGCCCAAATTTGCCCTTCATCATCAACTATCATAATGAATAGTCTAGTCGCTGATCTTTTCTTCCCGGCTTAATCTCCTGCTGATCTTTTCTTCTGGGCTTAATCATCCTTCGCTCCTGTGTGGCGTGCCTAGTTAGCGATGGGTACCGCGATGCGAGGCAATAGACATACGTTGACTCCTCACACCTTGGTTTCTTCCTTGCATTCAATGTATCGTAAAAATAGTCCAATGGGCGTGGTGAATGCGCAAAATAAACAAGTACATGACGGCTTAATTCCTCGATCACTCAATTTTATATGCTCGTGAATTCTGTCTAGCACTTAATTTCTATGGACGCTCACTTGGACGTGCCACATCACATCAAAGGTAAAATTGGACTTAAACCACATGTGGGGATTAAAGTCTACTCTGTCTCCGTCGCATAGAGCAAGATCTTCTATGATTCAAAATTTATCCTATAAATAACAACATGCTAGCAAGGTATCGGTACTCTGATCGTTAGTGCTTTGGAGTGCTATCGATATCATTTTGATTCATGATTAATGTGTCCTAGAATGACGGAGGGGTAACAATTTGATAGTTGAATGGAGAATCCACCATTGTTTTTCACTTTTTCTCGTTGTTGTATCCTGATTTAATATGGGCTTCCAGAAAAGGGTTAAGAAAAGAAAAGAAAAGAAAAGTGAAGCTTCAACCTGCAAGGCCCCAGCTGTTATTATTATTATCACTGCATCATGAGCCGTACAAAAACACTTCCCCATGAGCCATGAGCCCATGATGAATCAGAAAAGCTAGTTGATTACATTAGAGGCTCAGAGAGACGTTGGGTGGGGGAAAGCACTAATAAAGTACTCCGTTTGCATAATCCTGATTCCCTCCCTCCATAATGCATGCATCACCGAAAGAAGAGAGAAACCAGAGAAAAGACAGAGGGCTGGATTGGCGTTTGCAGTTTTGTAGGAGCCAACGTCTTTATTCTCTGCTGACCACCGCCCTGCCAAATCTGAAATCCCTGGCCGTGTCTGATTTGCTGCAGTGCTTGCAGGGTTAGCACGAATTTACTACTAACCTGCAGTAATTTGTTCCCTGTACATCCATAACCTCGTCTCTAAACTACTACTGCTACTCCGCGTTCATGCGTGTAAGGAATATGATAGTAATATATCCCTGTCGGTCGGTTTGATTCTTTGCTGCTGAGATGGATGCAAATGCAATGCATGGATCCAATCTCCTCCAGACCTCCACGGCTCCTCCACCCTCAGGATTGTGGAATAAACAAGGGAGAGACCGAAAGAAACACGAGGAGGAGGTTCCCAACTCCCAAGATCCTTTCCTTGCGACTTTCGCCTTGCTTTTTGCAAGCACTGGCCTCTCAGCTCGACCTCGATCTCGACCGACTCCAGTGCCCATGTGGGGAACTGGGGATCACTCGTTTGCTGCACGGGTCCCTCGAATCAAGTGTTCAGGTCTCCGTGTGGGGCCCTCAGCCTCCCGGCCCCGCTCTTCAGCCTGTTCGGGAGGCCGTATCGTATCATGGATTATTTACTGTTGGCTGGTTTGGGGTGAGAGAAAAACACTGTTCCCGGCTGAAAATTTACGATCGTTTACGAGCAAGCGATCAGGCTACTTAACCACAACCCCACCACATCCGAGAAATGACCTTGCAGCATGTACAAGTAGAACATTGGCAAATGCCAAATGGTGCACGCTGGTCTAAAGTTTAGCAGTAAAGTTTAGCCGCTAGACCATCTTATAAAACTTTATCACACAAATTAGCTAAAGTGGTCTAAAATTTTAGTCATTAATTTTAGTCAACTAAAACCATAGGCCTGACAATGTAAACAGACCCTAAAGTTGCTCGGGTGCAACTGTTCGGCTATTTGGAAGACAGTAAACACTGCAACAACAGTGCTGCTGGAACAGACAGCTGAACATGCCCAATATTATTTTGTTCCATTTCTTGCTTTTTTTCCTCTACGAAAAATAAACCGTATTTTGGAAAATCCGTGTACATCCATATTGAGTTCCTTGGTTCTAAAGAGGTCATGCTGTCATGCATTGGAAGTTTAGCATTGTCCACTGTTTTACCAAAACAGTCGTGCACTCGTGCGGTCCGTTTAAACACCGTGTATCTACACTTAGGTACATCGTTTCATTCAGTTTAATCGGACGTTTAGCTTGTTTAATAGACCGTTTAGACGTTTAGTCTGAATAATAGCTAAACGCTAGTTAACTAGTTCTTTAGTGTATATTGTGCGTATACAAACAATAGGTTGTACCGTATACCAAGCATCTTCCTCATTTCTTGGCAGATGGCCACATGCAGTATTGAAACATTACAAAAGGCACCCATCTCCATTTCCTTCGGGCGTGTTTGATATCGGTGCTCAGGGCGCCAGAGTCTGGTCCAAACAGTACAGGTGATCGTGTTTGATGTATGTCTGAGCAGAGCCGAGCTGAGTTGAGATTGTGTTTGTTCACCTCTTCAAAAAGAGTATGCCTGCCTTGTGCAAGCGTGTGGTAGCCTTACCACCAGTGCTCTCCTCACTGCCATTTCATCGAGCAGGTCATTGATGCGAGCTAGTCCAGCACCAAGAATGGAGAAGCTAGGCTCAGCGCAACGGCGGCACCACGCACGCGCGACGTCGCGGAGTTCCTCGGCGAGCTCCTCCACTACTAGGAATATCCACTTCTATGATAAAAATTTTAATAATGAATCCGAAACTGTTATAAAAAATACTTTTTATGACGAAAATTTAGGTTTCGTCATAGATCACCGTGACGAACCTCGAATCCCGCTTATCTATGATGAAATCGGGTATCGTCACAAAAAACGTCATAGAACAGCACAAGATTTTGTCATAGATCACTCGCGCGACTGTTCCTACTCGTCTGTGACGATCTTATTCATAACTGTGACGAACAGGCTTCGTCATTGAATTAATTACTGATCTATGATGAACAATATTCAACCTATAACAACGGCGCTTCGTTATAGATCTCCATACGGTACCTTCTCCATCCAACGTGTTCCTGTGGGACCTACAGTTACTCATCCGTGACGCTTGTAGTTCGTCATAAAAGTCTTCGCTCGATCATTTCTTCATGCGACGTGTACCTATGGAACCCTTCTCCATTCGACCTGGGACCTGAACCTGTGGAGCCTTTCTCCATGTCCATCCAGACTGTGGGACCCGACGGCTTGCGTGTCACTTGTGCTTGTGGACCCTTCTCCATCCAACTTGTAGGACCCGACGGCACCTTTCTCCATCTCCATCTGACCTATGGGACCTCACGGTTTGCGTGTCACGTGTACCTTTGGGACCATCCGACCTTTGGGACCCTACGGCTTACGTGTCATGTGTACCTGTGGGACTTTGTCCATCTCCATCCGACCTGTGGGACCCTACGGCTTGCGTGTCACTTGTTGCCGCTAGGGTTTAATAAATTCAAACTCAAAAAAAACATGAGACCTGGGAGTCGAACCCGGGACCCAGAGCAAGAAATAGACCGTCTTCACCATTGCGCTAGCTGTCTGGTTGTGTCGACATGTCTTTGGAGTAGTATATGTTCTATGTGTGGACAGGTTGACTTATATATTGGATATATCTCTATCCCCTATAAGTGGAAATAAATCTGTGCCCGTTGGACTTGCGACGACGGCGTCGGCACAACGGCGGCGACGGTGGTGGCAACGAAGGATCCCCAATGTGATGTGGTGGCTTAGGCTTCCTTTTGAAGGCTAGGCGGCGGGTCTTCCCGATGGAGCACGGCGGCATTGGCGTCCGTGTCCATCGTGATGCCGTGGCAGAGGCGACAGATCTGATCCGCAGGTCTCCTTTCTCCCCTTTTCCTGTGTTGCTTCACTGTTTTGGTCCTTACTTAAACATGAGGTATACAAGAAACATTGTAGTGTTTCAGATCTGGTTTGGCCAATGATGATGAAAAGAACTAGGAGGTGGCACTGGTTGGTTTTCTGCCAGCGCGTGTCACTTGTAGATCTATCTAGGCAAACAAACATGCCATTCGCTTCTACCTTAAACTATTTTTTCTGTCCAATGCTTGCTTGATTCTATATTTCTATTTCGTATGCTCTAGTGTCTCCAGTGAGTTCTTATGGTATTTTAAACTTGTAATATATCTGAGGCCACATTTCTATGCCAATGATGTCTACATGGATGTTGGATGTATTAGGATGCAGCTCATATGTTTGCTTTCTATGTGTCTTCTCCTTGTTGACAACCAAGTTATCCATTTGGTTCCAAACAAGATGAAGGCATCGTGAGCAAATCAATGCTTTGTGTCCATCATTCACAAGACTAAGGCCACTAATTAATGTCTAAGCTGAACATGTTGCAACTGATGCTAATGATGATCACTACCACTTGTTCACTGACATTCTACTTGTGAAAACTGAGGCAGCCTGTTCGGATTGTGCATATTTGAGATGAGTCGTCCCTGCTATGTTATGTTCGATGGCCATGAGCCAGGAGTTT